GGTGCAGTTCGCTCTGTCATGTTATACGATTCGAAGATATGGTTGCTGAAAGTAGGAGACATGAAGCAGTTACTGACTTTTGTTTATAGGTGTCTTCGTAGCATCGGTGGAATCACTGTGTGAACGATGTTAAGTTCAAGAGAAGGGTACTAGATAAGACAGACAGTTCAATTAATGAGGTTGTGAAAATTCATCGGATGCGATAGATTGGACATGTGTTGCTCATGCCGAGCCCCCGCTTACCTCGATATGCAATGGTGGAGGAAGTTGGATTAAGTTGGAAGTGAGTTCAGAGTGGCCAGATCAAGAAGCACCACCAGTCGATGAAGTCTCTGACTGTTGATCTAAGCTGTGTGGTGAGATGTCGACTTCCTGATTGGGGTCCCCGAGGCGATAGGGATCAGTGGTTGAAGATACTTTGTGACGGCTGGAAATCGCCCACACTGTGGCAGATATATTCACTCTTTGGCGCCTTCCGAAGCTTAGATATTCTCGTTGTCCGTTATCGTCAGATTGTTTATTCTGTAACACTACTTTATCTACTTAGATTTCACCTTTTTTCTATTCACCTGTTCTTTGTGTACTACTGTGAAGTGTGGCGACTTGAAACGATGCACTTGCGTGCGAGGCTCTTCGTCTGTTTTATCTATCTGTCAGAGTCCGGCTGGATAGTGGGAACCGAAGACCAGTTGGAGACCAATTAAACTGTTCTTCGAAGCGTCCCACTCATCCCTGAGAGTTGATGGCAGTCCTACCTTTCTTCGCCATGATCTGACTAACCATTGACTTTTTCACTCAATTTTTTTTATTGGTCTAAATAATTGTCCACTGTAACCTATCACTACTGTCTTTTCCATTTCTTTGCCCTCTGTTACCCACCGCTACTCAGGGTCATTGGGTACACTCCATCAGTCGATATTTGACTTGCTTCGGCACCCCATTGTACTCAAAGCCTGCAGCAGTGTTAGCAGGTATTGATTAGTTCAGAAGAAGCTGAAGAAAACTGCTGACTTCTCGAAACCTTTTTCAGAGAGTCACTTACAGTCTTTAACATTGTTTATACAACAGATTGAAGATGGCGTCATGCTTCATTGGTATGTGACATTATCCTTTTCTAATAACTATTTGGCCAGTACCTCATTGACAGCAGCTGTAATATTTTCATCAGCGAGCTGCACTCTGAGTAGTCTAACAGCTGTAGCTATGCATTAGGGTATGGAAAGGCGTGTTCGAAACAACACATAGTTATCGTTCAAGCATACTCTAGAAGGAGTGGCAGTTTTCTACCGACTCTGCACCGATAACTGATGACAATGTGGTCTACCTGTATCCACCATTGAGTTGAGATCTGTGAATGCTACGTCAGACAGTGTCTTTATGTCTGAAGTTCATGCTAGCCAGAAAAGCATGGTTGTCTGGGCTGTCGTTGCAATCGATCTCCGTTATCCATTCGTTCAGCTGGGATTCCAAAACTATCACATGACTGCTTTCCCACTTGATTCAATCTGCTCCATAGTGCGTTGAAATCATCTGCTACAACGACCAAATCTTAACTTTTGGTTTCCATTAGGAAGCTAAACTTTCGGTAGAACCCATCTTTCACTTCATCTGAACTGCAACCAGTTGGTGCGTAGACGAAGATTAAGAAGAGACAATGGCAAGTTTCACTGTTCTTTTTAGCCCTCATTTTTGCTGTTTAACCGAAAGGCGCATGGGTCACTGTCAATTGTGATCCAGTTGAGTAATGGACTTTCTACTTTTTTTACTTAGCGCTATATCTACTCCTGCGAGACCATGAGAACTATTATTATTATTGTTATTTATCCCTTGGGTTCCTAATGGAACATAGGGCTTCAGTAGCACGTCTCCAGTGAACTCTGTTCTCTGAAATCTTTTGAACCTGGCTCCACGACAGCCCACAAACTCTCATTTCCTCCTCGCACGATCTCCTCCATGTCACCCTCGGACGTCCAACTCGTCGCTTCACATCGGGGTTCCACTCGAGCAACTGGCCTGTCGCGTGATGTCCCCAGTCGGCCTTCTCAGTGTATGCCCAATCCATCTCCACTTCCTTCTGCATATTTGTTGAGCGATAGGTTCTTGGTTGGTTCGTTCCCATAGTTCGTTGTTGTTTATTCTTATTATTCTGGCCATCTGAGCTTCAGTAACGAGCCAGCATAGGCAGTTGTTGATGAATGTCTGTAGTTTGTTGGAAATGCCTTTCGTGACGCGCCAAGTCTCTGAACCATACAAGAGCACTGACTTGACTGTCGTTGGTGTTGAAAATCCGCATCTTGTTTCACATGCTGAGTGCAGAAGATCTCCACATTGGTTTCAGGCTAATAAAGGACAGTCTTGCCTTTCCGATCCTGGCTTTGACATCCTCGTCTGTGCCTGTGCCGCCTGTAGTTGAAACAGTGCTTCCTAGATAGGTGAAGGAGGTTACTTCCTTTAAGTTTCTCCCGTTCATGGTCTTTGGAGTTTGTTGTTGTTGATGGCGTTGTTGGTTGGGTATTTTCATCACCTCTGTCTTTTCTATATTCACTTGAAGTCCCGTCTTCGCTGCCTCTTCTGCCAACTTGTTAGTTTTTGCCTGTAGATCTTCAAGTTTGTGTGACATTAGACACAAGTCATCGGCGAAATCCAGATCTTCTAGGTTCTTTTTCGCAGTCCAGCGTATCCCCCTCTTCTCGCTCCTCACTTTTTGTTGCATAATCCAGTCGGCTACAATCAGGAATATCATGGGTGAACCATGAGAACTAGTCAAGAAATATCCAGAAACTCAAAAGGAGAAATCTACAGGTTTACCAAGTTGGCCAAATGAGTTTAAGTAAATAACCGCATTTAGATTCTATGGGTATCTTACACGTCCATAACCTGGTATATCAAAGTCTGGGCCAGCGAAGCTTGTTCGATTTCATGGAAAGTGCAGAAATAGAAGTTGTAATATGTAGTTTGAAGAATGCTTTCAGGAGACCAGGGATACTATTCTGTGGACTCAAATCATTATCAAGGGCTGCAGAGCTAAAAAAAATCAAAGATGACGTAAAATTATCGAGACATGAAGGCAAATATATGAGTGGTGTATAAGGATCTGGGGAAACTTGAGTGCTGATAGAGTTTTGGGGGTAGGTTGGCATACCGTGACAAATCATTTCTCGAATTAAAAAGGAAATGGGACTAGTAGTAGTGGTACGTGACAGAGCCTGAAGGGTATCTGGTTGAGACTGTTTAACTCGCCATTTTGGAAGCTAGGGATTCAAATTTGATTTTTTAAAATCTAACTTAGCTTCGACACTGACTGCAAGGTAGATAATTTAAATGGTGCTTTTTTCAGAGTTGACTTTTTCTACCTTGCATTTCCCATAGGGAATGGAGCATGTATATGAATTGATAGACCTCTATAAGAAACATCTTATTGCTGTCAGAACCTGTCCAGCCAGCGATACGACTTTCCCCTTAGACCGCCATCATAGCGTAGGAATTTACACTATTGCGGTAACTACTTTTAGTCTAACGAGATCGGTTAATGATATTTATTCTACTGACACAACTATCCACTTTTTGTACACGCGCCTTATAATTATCTGAAGATTCAGATAGTATTTGTAGCTTATGTTCAAGGGCTCATATAAAGCATATTTTAAAATTCATTATTTGATTGTTTTATTTTTCGACTCATATCTTTGAGACACTTTTTGAGTAACCATAGTACTACTCTGCAAATGGTTCCATCACAGTAAACATTTGCTAACAATGTCGTTTATCATCTACACACATTGGTTTTTGTTATCCTAAGAAAATGCGCAATGTTTAAAATCCTAAGTGGAATTGAGAATGAAAGAGAAATTTTATCAGTTGCTTCAAAATTTAGAATTCGCAAAAGTAATTGGTGTTCTATGCGGCTCATTTCTTGGATTTAAGTGGGGAAATTTTCAGTTTAATTTGAAGATATAATACCGGTGCAACTCAACTCTGTGCGTGTCTTTATGTGGTTGCCTGTCAGTCATATTCATTGTATGAGGGCTTTTATACATATAGTTTTTGGGTTTTATCTCAGTGTTGATTTTTCTGAGTGTGATTCAATTTTTCATGTTTAAAACAGCTGTCTTAACTATTCCGGTTGAACACTTCACTTACCTGGGTAGTCCGATCAGCCCTGGTGGCTACGTGGGCCGATGAAATCTGTACATGAATATAAAAGGCTCGTTTGACTTTTGCCAAGTTACACCATCTGTGGGGCAGCCGCGATATTCGATTGTCTATTAAAGGCCGTGCTGCAGTCCGCTCTACTCTACTCTCTGACTATGAAACATAGTCATTGAAGGTAGAAGACATGAGAAGGCTTCAGGTGTTCGACCACCGTTGCCTCCGTAGTATAGGCCGTGTTTCGTGGTGTCACCACGTGAGTATCACGGAAGTCAGGTATAGAGTTTTAGACAAGAGAGGTAAGACAGTTGATGGGGTTGTGAACCTTCATCGACTTAGATGGCTGTGACATTTGTTACGTGTGCCTAGCCAACGTCTGCCTTGTTGCAATGTTGACCGAAGTGGGTTCAGTTTGGGAAACGGCTTGGGATGGCCAGGATAAAATATGGCATCAATGTTTGAAGTCGATGACTATTGGTTTGAGCCATGTGGGGCGATGCAGACTAGTTGGTTGGGGTCCCCAGGACAAAAGAAACCAGTGATTGGAGACTAGGTTAATATAGCTGAGAACTGATGTCAGTGGTGCAGGTAGATATGGATATACATATTATCTTCATCCTAACCTCTATACTTAATCTCATCATCTTCCCATTCCTCCTCCTCTCTTTTACTACTTTCTACTTCTTTTTACTGATTTTTCTTTCTTCATGTTCCATCTTATTACCTTCTTACTTACTGTGCTGATATGAGGTGTGGCAACTTGGACCGTTACTCAATGATACCTGGTCCTATATTTATTTTAATGATGATGATCACTTCAGTTTTCAAACAGTTCTGCCTTTTTTTGGTAGGAATTCCGTTTCTGTAGAGGAAAATGCCATAAAGCTTTCAAAAAGCATAAAAATCCCCGCAAAGTAAAGTGGACTAAAGTATCAAGAAGAGTACGCGGAAAAGAGCTGACTGATGATTTAGCTCAAACATTTGAAAAGAAAAGAAATTTGCTATTCAAATATGAACGAACAGCAGTTCAAAAAATAGGTACATTTTGTACATTAATTTAAGATACCTTATTATTTTCAGTTACTGCTGTCCCAAAAATTGATCAGATTAAGCATAAACGCGAGTCTGCATTCATAAAGAAACGCCTTTTAAAAGGAGTACAGTTACGCAAAGAAGAGGACATTAAACTTGTCAATACTCAAATGCATTTGATTGAAGCTCCTGGAGGTAGGTTTAACAGTGTGATCATAAGTGTTATAAAATATTCATAGTGAAAAGAAAACGTGCACTCATGGATGTTGATTCAGAATCAGAATTATCAGATGAAACAATGGACCTTTCAACCACTGAACTCGAAAATGAGACCAGCAAAAGAAAAGTATCTGAGAAACCGAAGACTCGTGTTAAGAAACAGAAAGTCGCATTGGAAGCTAAATGATCGAAAAGACCTATATATTAATCTTCTCCTTATTTGATATATCAATTGTTTTCCCTCATTTAGTGGTTGGTTTTCGTCTGTGCTATGTGCGATAGATTGTGAATTCTGAGAGTATCTGCGTTATACTATTGTTTATCATTGATTTGACACTATTCATAGCTTGTAACATTATGACATCAAGGCTTCACATGCGTAACAGCTAGTTGTCTTCTTAAGGTTCTATACATTTATTCCCCTTGATGAATTTCAACGTAGTAAGAGCTGCAAGCTCAGATTAAAATGATGTCATTTTTTGTCGACTGCATGCAATCTGAATAGATAAGTAAACAATCGTGTAACAAATTTCAACATACTTTATGTGTAAGCGTGTTTAGATACTAGTTTATGTTTCAAAGATCAGAAAAAAATTCCGATCCAGAATGAAATTTAGTCGAACTAGGGACATTTTATTTAGGAGGAAGGTGAAGTGTATTCTGGATTGGATTGGATCGGAATCGGAATACACTCAGCAACCTTGTACACATTCTTGCAGCAGGCAACAAGCCACACCTATTTGTGTGAGGGTTAATGATACATCCTGGTTACCCATACCTTGGTAGTTAGAGCGGTGTTCGAACACGTGGCCCATTAACTGAAAGTCAACTGCCTAAACCAATAAGCCACAGCTCCACTATTCTAGAATGAATAAGATATGACTAAATATAATTAGAAGCGGTTAAGTAGTCATACTGAAAAAAACCTAAACTCATTGATAAATGGATCAGACAAATTATCATGATAATAATAAATGTGGTATTAGTGAAATAGTAGCGAGTGAGAACAGAATCAAGCTCCTGAGATTGCGGAATATACGAATGTTTGGAGAGTCACTAATTACGGGAGTAGCAATGAACTAGTAACTCTCATTTTGAATAAGCATTTGAATTTAGCGAATAAGCTTATGTTGCTACATAAAATCACGTTTTTATTCATGACCATACCCCTTCTGCAAACTGTGCAATCTGTTAATTCACAGCAGATGTTCCGGTATCTACGTCTGAGCAGAAATGTTTTCTCCTCATTTATGTGGTGGATGTTCAATTGCGATTAAACACGATTTTTCACACACAAGTTGATGGATTAGCAATGGGTATTTCTTTAGCATTAGTGATGGCCAGTACACACATAGAATATCCCACGCTGAAGTCTTCAATCAATAGAAATGTGTTTTGTCTGAGTTACGCAGATGATACGTTTGCTGTATTTTATGACGTTCAACAGGCAAAACGTTTCTTCAAAGGTTCAAAAAGGCGCATCCTGATAATGAATTCAGATAGGAACGTGCGCTTTCTAGGCATATGCTTGAAACCTAAATAAAATATTATGATCGAAAGAAGTACTCACCATAAAACTACCTGGAGCAACACCTACACTTCAACAGCTTTTGTCCAGTAAGTCACGGGAGGGGACAGAAGTACTATATTCTGAAGATATTAGGCGAAGTCTTACTAACAATGGGTAAAATGTGTGCAGAAGTACAGCTTAGATCCGGAAAAGAAAGACAAATACAGCTGTAGGAAGGAAATCAGTATTCAGAAGATGGTTTCAAAGGTGGTGATGTAGCAGAGAGAATTAACAGGTGGTTTGTAATTGTCCTATCTAGTAATTATCCTACTGCAAAACTTGTTCTGTTGTATCAGACACCGTGTTCGGTCAAAGTCAGATCAGTTTCCGACTTAAAATACTTTTGAAGCGTCTACGAGATCTCATTTCTGCACTTATAGTTTGTAGTAAATCGTTTGAATAGGTTGAGTAGCTTGAGCATCTGCGTAGTTGTCTGGTTACTGATATGACTCAGACTTTCTAAATTTGAAGCCGCATATCGATAGCCAGGGTAGGACATAATCTGGGCCGCCTTGGGCGTCACCATGTCACTAACTTGACAACAAAAGATCGGGTAAACAACCGTCTTATGTAGTCATCTCCGCTATACATCTGCGAGATTGAACCCGTTTGAACTGACAATATCCATCAATTCTTATCGATCATGGTTGCCTGTGTAGGATGACTTACACCTGGTAGCAACATCATGCAAGTAGTTTTGAAGTCCGGTGTTACAGTTTTAATTATCAAGAAGATAGTTATTAAATCAATTAAGTTATCTTGGGACACTTCTGTGGCCTATTTTTCCAGTGGCTTCTATGTTGTTCATGGCTTACTAGCCATGAGACTGGTCAGATAATGAAATGGTTATTTGTGTTGGGTAGGCATCTGTCGGTGTAGTAAAAGCTCCCTCAGTTAGGTATAAGTGATCACACCACTGAGTGGTAGGCACCATTTTCATAACTTCTTACGACTTTGGACTTTATTATTTTCATTCCTTTTGCCGTTTTTCTTGATGTCCTAGTATGAAGTGTGGGAACTTGGGCCGTTACGTGGGGATATCAGGTCCCATATAAATATTGACTTACTGTTATCACATATGTCCCAGAATAAAAACCAATGGTGGAGTTCCCTTTAGTTTTCTGTTTCAACGAAAAATAGGTGACAGTCTTTTGAATATGTTTAATGCGGCAACCTCTGTCCTTACGATTATCATATTACTCATCCTAAGTTATTACTTTATGTTTTCATAAGTTTATCGTTTTATTTCGGTGTGGCGTATCTTGTAGTACTTATTTCTTAGTGACATAAACAAACAAGAGGTATTGGAGGAATGCAATGAAAGCTGCATTCTCAAAAAAAATCAAATCCACCTTGCTTCACTGCTTTTTACCACATAGGCGAACAGATAAATAATCATTACAAAAGGACTATAATGCGTTTAAGTCAGGTGCTGTAACTGAGTTTGACTTTTGGAGCTTAAAAGAATAATATTAGAATTCCAGAATACTTAAGGTAATTGAAAAGGTATTTTTAACCAAACTATTTATTCATTATGAGGTATGAAAAGAAGTACCAATAAATAAGATTCAATTTAAACTGAAGTAATCAGGTTTAAAAAGTTATACCGACAAATTAGTAGATGGATGAGATAAATAATCGTTATAATAGCGAACATAGTAACAGGAAAACGAAAGTAAATACAGATAGATGTAAAAGAAATGAGAGTTTTGAAAAAGTGGGAGGCGCATCAGTCGTCGTAAGATGATTGGTTGCAACTCGCTTTCAATATATATATGGTGCTCATCTAACCTTCACTACTTCGTTCTAAGGGCAGTGGAATAAACAATGCCACAACAACTATTACATCTAAAATGTACTGCTCAAAAGTGGGCTGTGAAAAACTGTTGATAAAGGTAGGAAGTTTCATATATTTAAGCACTTATACGCGTTAAAAATCGCTCTTAGTGAACTAATCGCATTAGCAATCCATCCACATACTAGCTGTAGTGTGGAAGCAGCTTAGTATTAATTGGACCGAGGTACATTACCAATTTATTAGGTCCCTGGATGTCGTTCAGATCAGCCCACTAATCCAGTTCTACAGGATAGGCGAAGTCAGTGGTCGTATAGTGTCTGTTTTGATACAAAATCGATCTCACTGTAGGATGTGCATCTGTAAGGTATCCTTCTGCACGTTTGAAGTAAATCATGTACATTTGATTTCAATAACTATCCTTCCACCTCAAGTTTTTATACTACTTATAATTTCTGCATTTAACTGTTTTCTTTATTCGTTTTTCTTTGTGCTGATATAAATTTTAGTGACCAGGGCTTGTACACAATCTTGTCATGTCCTGTTTTATTCCTTTTTAAATAGAGTGATGACAACAACTTTAGCAGAATAGCATGGATCCATACTATTTCGCAGTTTCTCCTCAGCTCCTTACAACCTAAAACAATTTTTAACATCATTTTACATGGGTGTTTGCATACTTGAATCAGTTTGATAGAAAATTATTTTAGAAGTAGTATTCATCATGGACTGACATTAGTTGGGGAACCATTGAAAATCTGGGAGCATACTACGACGAAACAGCTGTCCAGTGCTCCCAGATTTTCAATGGTTCCCCAACTAATGTCAGTCCATGATGAATACTGCTTCTAAATTAAAAAATCCCCACTCATCTCAAAAATACATTAGAAAATTATTTGTTCGATGTAAAGATAACATCAATAAGAACTAACTAAAAAGACACAAATTGAGTGAATAAATATGCAGAACTAACATCCAAATCTAAACTTGCCAATATGTCGAAGGACTAGACGAATATTCTAGAGCGGAATTTGAATAAGTGGTGGAGACAAATGCATCCAACATATTAAGGAAGGTTACACAAAATGTATGAAAGATCATAAGATTTATGTTAACTAAGAGCTAATGTTATTAGGATTCAGATAATTAGATCAAGCGTGTGGAATGTAAAACAAAACAAAAAAGCCCCACATGAATCGACAGTTATATGTAAGTAAAAACATGATGATTGTCGAAAAAAACAAGTCTTTATCGTGGTAGACCCAGACCGCAAAATGTAATAAGAAAATGGAGATTGAATTTTCAGAGGGTTGTGGGGATTTATGAATATTTCAAGTTGGTATTTATCATCGTAGACTGATATCAGTTGGAGGAACAATGGAAACCTGGGAGCACTGAACAGCTGTTTTGTCCTAGTATAGGGCTCCTCAGCAGTACGCACCCACGACCACGCCAGGGGATGAACCTGCGATCTTCAGGTTCCATGGCCAGCACGTTACCATTGAGCCACTGCGTTGGAATCCAGTGGTGCGTATTTCCAACTTCTGTCGGTATACAACATAGCCCAACCGCCAACGGAGTCATATAATGATTCGTGATAACATTTATTCAAATGGGAAGAATAACACTGATGTTACTTTACTTGGAGTATAGAAGCATAACATTTCAGACTGTACATACTTTGTATTATCACAATGTGAAATGGTGCTTGCCTAAGTGAGCGAACATATTTTATAGGTCTAGAGTTTCCTGCCAATTTATTTCTAATATTTATCTACGCCTGTAAACACTGGCATCTCCGAGCTGAGAATGTGCGACGAGTCTGTGTGTTCGGTCATCGTTGTCTTCGTAGGATTGTTCACATTAGGTGCCAACATCATGTAAGTAATTCTGAGATACGACAGCTTGTGTTTGGATATGGTGGAGAAATCATTCAACAGTGAAGTCATCTGTAAACACCGGCTTCGGTGGCTTGGACGTATGTTACGCATGTCGTCCCAGCGGCTTACATAGCGTTCATTGTTTGCTAGCCCTGGGAGTGGATGGAAGAATCAGACGAGTGGTCAGTGTATGATGTGGCACCGTGAGATAAAAGATAGTTGTATCAGGTTAGCATCACAACTCACTGGGTTGGGTCCGAGAGATCGCGCAACTTAGTCGCTTGACAAGTTATCAAATATGGCCCAGAATCGAAACCAGTGGCTGTCATGCTATGGCGTCATTCTATCTTCTGGTGTTAAAAATTAATGAATGTTTTGTCTTCAGTGTATCTAACTGGACTCCTTTTGTAACCTTTCTACTCTCGTCGTCTTTTTCCTTTTTATTTGTCCACTTCCTTTCGCCTTCTGTCTTCACAATGTTATTATACTATTTTGCGTTGCGCATTTCTAGGTGCTCTTGTTGTACCATGTTTGTGTTCCAATAATAATAATAATGATAATAATAATCAAGGTGTCTGCTTTGTGAGTTCTTTCAGGAAAACAACCTAGTTATGTTATCACATACTGTTTAATGTTTATTTTTGTTATATATTTCGATTCATGTTCGTTATTGTCAAATCTTCATCACTTTAATTCTAAAAATGAAGATAAGCAATTTTTTGAGATTTTTAGTATCATGTCGATTGCAGTGCATTCAAACATTAGAGAGTGAATATATCCTAGGGCTAGTAAATACTTGTTTCTATAGTTATCGATAGGTATTTCAATGCAATACAGCGTTTCTTGATAATCATTTCGTGGTAGATAACAGTGGAGATGGTGCATCTTATTCTGTCATCTTTGAATTGCCTGACCGGTCAAAATAAGTTATTAATTAAGAGTGGTACATTGTCATAGTTACCATTCTTCAGAAGATTCATCATATTTATCGAACCCATTCGCTTAGCTGATTTGAAGCATACTTATCACTTTGACATAACTCTAAAACACATCCTAGAAACTATTGAGATAGCTAATTATTTTTCTTTGTGTTATGAAAAGCTACTTTCCCATCTGAAGTATACCGAAGTCTGATTGTTCATTTCATTAGTTGCTAGGATGGCCTTTAAACTTACTGTCATTTTGAAGCGACTTAACAGAAATGACTCTAAACGCCACCCTAGCAAGTACTGAAACAGACAATAGGGTTTTGGGTACTTCGACTGGGAAGGCATTTTTTCATCAAACAGAAGGACATAGTTAGTTATTTAAACAGTTATCAGGGTGACCTTTAAACTCACTCCTCACTTTGTCAAAGTCTTACTCACGAACTGATGCAAGTTATCAATGTAATTTTTAAATATTTTCGTACAGAGCTGAGATAGCCCAACCTTTTAGGATTAATTACTGGAACATTTTTCTCTTAGATATGCATCTGTGTTATTTTTTAAGGAAAGAAATAAGATAACAATATACTTTGACAAAATAGGATAAATTATTACTCTGTTATTCTTTCATTATTTTTTGTGAAGTGAACATATATTGTTCCTGAAAAGAATGTTAATATATGCATGCGTATTGTGAAGAGTTATTACTCTAATGAATCTTACTATAGTCTGAATGTATGCATATGAAATAGGAATGAAAGGATTTACATAATGAAATCAGATAACCTGCCTGAAGAAAAGATGAAGGTTGGAAATTTCACAAATGATGCAGTTATTTCATATTATAATCTAAAGATCACGTAGGCTGAGAAGGAGGTGATTCAGAAGGCTGAAGTTTATTATGTCACATAGTAGTAAAAGGAGAGGTAAGAACGAGATGACAAGTAGTGAGTGCTAGGATGACAATTAGAATAACTGCAAAAGAAAATTAAAACAAGGCTATAAAACAAATGAGTGAGGAAACAATAACCATGTCTTTTGAAGAAGTTAAGCATATGTGAAGTGAAGTTCTCTATGGTTTTTAAAATGTCGATCACCAATTCATTTTTGCATTGTTTCTTCTGTTTTCGACATTATTTGACGATACGATGAGGGATCCAGTGATTGATATAAACGCTTGTGTGTGCATGTGTAGACCAGAGGTGGTTTAACTGTTTTATCAGCTACTTGTGTACACCTCGGTACTCCCACTGAAGTTCGAATTCTGGAAACAGAATCAGAAAATGTAGTTACTAAGAAAGTGGTTGACTTTGTTGTTTTGCTTATGCTTGGCTCCCTTTTAAAATAATACTGAAAATAACGGTGTATTCAGGAAAAACCAGCACTACGCGTCCATCGGAACTAACAATTCACAGAATATCTTGAAATCTTTTTATCTTACTGAAGTAATTTATTTAGTAGTAACAAAAAATTTGACCCCTTTTTCATAACTATTAAACAGTACCGCTTGTCTACGTTAGATATCATCAAATTACTGGGAGTATAATGAGAAACAAACTACTAAATAATAAAGTCCTAATTCACATCTTTGTTTTCAATTCAGTATCATTACAAATTTCTGTCGAATTCTGGGAGATTTCCAGTTTGTGAATTGAAATAAATCTAACGACCATCCAGACAACACTGATAATCAAGCAGAAGTTTTGTGTCACTACTCAACTTCCCATTTGTTCATAATCGTTATCTTTGCTGTTGCCGAACATAAAAGCCTATCTGGTTCTAACAGATTATTTATTTCCAAACCATTGAAGTGATCAAATACAATTGACTTGTTATTTAGCATGAATCATTTAGTTTACAAGTTGGTTTTATTTCCAAAAAGTTATTGATGTAGATACTGTCTTGTTAGTGATTTTTAGCGATATCTAGAATGCTTGCTTCATCCTGATTGTAGCTCATTATGTGGATGGACATACCTGCATCTCAATGAGTATAAGTGTTCTCTCTGAGACTAGAAGCAGTTTTCATGATATTGGATTGGTTGTTTCATTTTTAACTTGATAAATTCAAATTTAATTTCCCGTTGCTGTGGAGAGTCGAGTGGAACATTGTGAATATCCTGCAGTATCAAAGTGTCCATAAAGGAGCCCATCTGTCAAAAGAAATTGGGTAATTCGACCTTGAACAGCAGAGGGAAATTACAAGTATCAAACAACAACAAATGATACCCGTCGGACAAGTGGTGGCTCTCATATCCCAGTGGCCTAATGAGATCTGAAGCGATGAGTTCTGAATTCTAATCTCAGTGGGGAAAACACCACTCACTGGGGTGCAGGAACATCCGGCTGACGAGTCTCAAATGGGACGAAACGCGCATCCTGGGTTCCACTGCGGGTCACCAAGATGGATATTTACCTGCATGTAATGCACCTCAGTTCTACAAAATCAGAATATTTAATGTGTCATATTCTGTAATTTCAAGGTAGTATGCATCCTGAAGTGACACTAGTTAGAGAACCATATTAAACCTAGAAGCATTGCAAAGCGCTTCTGTCCTGGTAAGCGTCTCTTAAGCAGTAAACAAATACGAACCCAACAAGGATTAGACTTTAGACCCTCATGTCTCGCGGCGAATGCGTTAACCATTTAATCACTGGGTTCAAGTGAATATCTTGACGTTCTGACGAGAAGCCGTGACCTGTAGAGTCAACCATTTGGAAGTGAAGCCGATGTCAACTGAAAACCTCAGTGGATATTCACACCAACTCACTAATCAACAGAAGTAGGAAACTGTTAACCACTGAACTCCTACACAGTGGCTAAATGGTTAACAAATTTGATGCAAGACCTGAAGGTCATAGTCCGTGTTCTTGGCAGGGTCGTGGGTGCGTACTGCTGAGGAGTCCCTCACTAGGACGAAACAGCCGTACAGCGCTCCTACATTTTCAATGGTTTAAGCAGGCCGTCTTGATTCATTTTAGAGTACCCTTAATTCGTCCAAGTCATGTGGCTGGATTCAGATAATCATATTAAGTGTGTACGAGTATGCAGCTGATGAGGTCAGTTTCAAGGACGCTCAACAGTTATTCACTATTTTGATCACTCTGATTTGGTTAGTGAATTAGACTGTGACTGACTTTTTGATTACTTACATTATTCCGTCTCCTATTACTATTATTATTGTTATTATTATTACCAATATTATTAGTTATAGTTAACACTGATAATTTTGTAGTATATAAACTACGTCAAAAACAAGTCAAAAAGGCTTACCATAGGCCTATTAGTATCTGACTTCTTTCTCTTCAACTCAACAAAATTTGCGTGTCCACCTTTAGTTGTAAAGCTTGGTGCTGCACTCATTGCACGTAATCTCTCGGAAGGCATAGGCTTAGGAACTCTGCGAAGAATAGGTTTTTGGCTAAGTGTATTTTCATTTTGAAAAAGAAATAGGTGAAGTACATGAATTAAAAAGGTGAGTTTCGCAAAGGAGATAAGCGGTTAGTTATTAACTCATGTTAAGTTAGGTCATAAGACAAAATTATGGAATGAAAAAGCACAAACAATCCTTGAGTAGGTAACTAAGCAACTTGGTTATGGTGGCCTGTACTTGTATCCTCAGTCATTTACAGAACGTGAATGTGCACTGAAGGATGAAAGATGAAAATTACCAGTGTATTCTGTGAGTTTCAGAATGAAACAACGACTCAATTTTTCTATCATTATTATTATTGTCATAATTATGATTAACAGTGATAAGATCGGGAGTAATCCTAAATTCTGGATGCCACCATCACCTGCAACTCGTCCAGAAATACCACCAGCAACGGCAGAACTACCAGTGAACATAAGTTCTCCAACAGAAGCAGAAGTCCTGAATGCCATAAAACTGCTGAAATTCGAAAAAGCAGCAGGACCAAATGGAATCCCGCCAGAAGCACTGAAAACAGACGCAGAGACAGCAGCGGACATGCTCACACCACTACTGCAGAAGGTTTGGAAGGAAGGAAAGGTACCTGCAGATTGGAAGAAAAGCTACCTTGTCAAATTTCCAAAGAAGGACGACCTAAATCAAATTGCAACGCAACACTAAGCATCATCATAGAAAAGAGCATAGAATGGCAGTCAACTGAATCTTTACCTCAGCTTCATCGACTTTGAAAAGGCCTTCGACAGCATCGACCGAGAAGTAATTTGGCAGTTGCTTCAACACTACGTTTTTAGTGCCACTAGTCTTTATCAACCTCATTCAACAGCTATATGACGACGCTACATGCCAAGTGATTCACAACACAATGGAAAGCTCAGCAATGGCTTTGAAGTGAAAACAGGAGTAAAACAAGGCTACCGCCTACTATCGCTTATGATCTTCCTGATTGTGGTGGACTGGATCATGCAGCAAACAGTGAGTAACGAAAAGATAGGCATACGCTAGTTGACCGATGAAAAGACCCTAGAAGATTTGGATTTCGCCGATGGTTTATGTCTAATGTCGCATAAACTCGAAGATACTCAGCCAACAGCATCAACAACAAGCACCAATCACCATGAACGGGATAAACTTAAAGGAAGTAGTCTGTTTCACCTACCTAGGCAGGGCAGCATCGTTTGAACTACAGGCGGCACAGGCATAGATGAGGTTGTCAGAACCAGGGTCGGAAAAGCAAGATAGGCGCTCATTAGCCTGAAACCAGTGTGGAGATATTCTGCACTCAGCATGTGGAAAAAGATGCGGATTTCCAATATCAATGTCAAGTCAGTGCTGCTATATGGTGCAGAAACTTGGCGTATCATGAAAATCATTTCCAACAAACTACAGATATTCATCAACAGCTGCCTACGCTCGTTGCTGAAGATCGAATGGCCAGAATAATAAGAATAAACAACAACGAACTATGGGAACGAACCAACGAAGCAAGAACCTATCATCCAACAAATATGCAGAATAGGGAAATGGAGATGGATTGGACATATACTGAGAAGACGGTATGGCGACATCACGTGCCACGCCAGGCCGTCGAGTGGGATCCGAAGGGGGAACAATGAGTTGTACGTCTGAGGGTGACATGGAGGAGATCATGTGAGAAAGAAATAGAAGCTTTTGGGCAGTCGTGGTGCCAGGTTGAGAAGACTGCAGAGAAGACAGTGCAATGAAGGCATGCTACTGAAGCCCTATATTCCACTAGGAACCCAAGGGAAAAAATAATAATCTGACTGCATTAATGAAGGGATTACAACTTTCTACATGACACCAAGAAGAAGAAAGTGTTCTGCCGAAGAGGCGTACTTCAATTGAACATAGTATATAGCATGAGTAAATTTATTCCATTGATATACGATAGATTTACCTTTGAGTCAAAAAAATAAACTACTGTGCGAAAAACTGGAAGAATTACCAACAAAAAACTAGCGTTGTTGAGAGTGATGGAAACAAGCTATTTGCAAGAGGCGGAATCAAATCCTAGTTTAGCTAAATACTTTTTTAGTATCCTGGATTCCACTGCCAGCCACGATCCATCATAAATACATTTTTACCAACAGAAATAATAAGCGTTCATTCTAAGTGAACTATCAACTTCAACAAACTACAGTGCAGAATGCAAGTTGCAGTTATCCTAAAGTGACTTTGAAGGCCACCCTAACAACTGTTGAAGTAACCAATCAGGTCTCGGTATTTCGAGTGGAAAGGTAGCTTTTTATGATACAAAGAGAAGTAATTGGTTATCTCACCAGTTGCTAAGGAGACCTTCAGAGTCACTCATCGGTTTACTACGGATCGCTTGAATTCCTTAATAGTGTTCTGTAGACTGATTTGAAAGGCCACCCTAACAACTAGTGAAATAAACAAGTAGAATTCTGTATTTTGAGAAAAAACCACCTATTTAGCCGAAATTAAGAGACTTAATTGGCTATTTCAACTGTTACTGGAGTGGCCTTAAAAATTACTATTTCTATACAATTGAACGTATTTGTATTGCCTATATTTACACCAGGAGTATTCATTATTGGTTATAACGTCTCCTATTACCGTGTTGCCCCAATTCATAGGTATCGACAATCAGAAATCAGTCAGACTTGGCAGCTAAGTGGTTCCAGATGACACAAAATGCTTTAGAACAGCCGATTTCCACAGTGATACTCTAACAGGTTGTTTTGTCAGTTCCGTAAGTATTTATAATTTAGACTATGATGGTGAAATTTATCTACTTTAGAAAGTACATTTATACTTACAAGTGACCTTTGATTGCGCATAGTTGAGCCGTCAAATCATTAATCTGTGTTAGGAAAAAAGAAAAAAAGATTTTAGTTGTCTTTCACCAATTAGGATTTAAAACAAAAGGACCAGAATGATAAAGTCAGGTCTAATGTGACTCAACAGACACTTTCATTACGTTGTGAGCCATAGTTATGCTTTTGAGGGTTAGCGGTTGATACCTAGTCGTCTGAACTGTATTCAAGTCGTACGAGGTTCGAGCCTGTGACTAGTTGGTTGACAAGTGAATATTTAGGTCAATGAGTGATAATCAACTCTACCATATGGTCACTGATACCATCCTCTTTGTTCCTGTATAGTGATCAAAAACTAGCGATCAAGTTTTGCAACATAAGTAGAGCGATTATCTAGTGTAACATTGCGTGGTATTGACTAATTGTAGGATCTTGATTACTAGGTTTAAGCATTATTTTTGATTTGTTGGCAGTCATTATGATCCAGTATTACTGAAGTCACGATTTGCATAGTGTACTTTGAAGACCTGTGTACTCATTAATCGGACACTTCCTAGAACAATCGAACCATTCGGGAAACTAAGTTGAAGGTTGTGTTGTTTGTAATTATATATATATATATATATATATATATATATATATATATATATATATATATATATATTCACTGACTTACCTCTTCATCCTGCTTTCGTAACCTTTGCTCCCAATCATATTTTTGTGATTCCAGATCTTTGATGCATTCATACCATGATTTAATCTTTTCTTGAAGTTGAGCTAAGTTTTTAGAAAAAAAGTATTCAGTTCTAATTACTTTTGTTTGGAAAGCAAGGCAGACAAAATGGTTAACTGACAGATTATTCCGATTTTCCATAAACTACAAATTCGGTTGGTAAAAAGTTTTCAATTTAAATGATAACATTTCTCATTCCATTTAGTGACTTGCCAAGACTAGGAAGATTTAAGCAACCGTATTTTGATCTCCTGGAATTTCTTCATATATATGACTTTAACACTTTTCAGATTTAAACTCTGAATCTTTGAGCTTTATGGTACTAAGCCTGTATTGGAGTTAAGTTCAATGTGACAGAAACTGCATACGATAACATAAAATCTCGTACATCATCGTCTGTCAGTTTTACGTATGAAATTTAGAACAACTAACAATCATTTTGGGATTTATTTCAAATATCATACAGACCTGAGTTCTTATGAGCAATCAAAGAGTACTATGAAGATGCTGAGTTGCATTAATGACTCCACTGATACTGGTCGTTTGTTTTGACAAATACATAGATACCATTGCATTATTTCCTTGGGACAGGTTACTTTCAAATACTTCAGGATTTTTGTTGATAATGAATGACAATCAGATCCAGGATGATTATTTTATTCTATCAGATACTTGTTCCCTGATGGATCTTCATGTTTTCGTTGGAAAGTGAATTAAAAAGCTATATAACAGTTTATAGGGACTACCACTTTGACAACAGATATCAGTTGTTATTTCAGTATTTCACACTTAGGATTTATACGAATGAAGTGATTAAGAGTCATAGGAACACCGGTTCTTTGTATGCATCATAGGTTTATCAATTCCGACCCCACCATTTACCTTCACGATCTTGATTCCAATCTTTAAAAATACACGCTAATTTCACATGCAAACTTCTGAACTGATACCTACGACAATACATAAGCGGAAACATATTATTACTCATTGGTATTTTATGATTATGAATGAATGTTTTCTTATGAAAATACTTTATATTGTTCAGTGACTGAAAAAAAGGAAACTTTTAACTTTTGACTAACACAGCACTCAGAAAAAGGTAATTCAACGGTTCTTTATAAATATGATTCGGAGTAAAGCAAAAATGTCTTAACTAGAGTAGAAGAATCCACAGATTATTTATATCAGTATGTACATATAAATCATGAAATTACCACATTTCAATATGAATTACCCAGGAAACCTAGACTTAATGTTTTTAAAGTTCAGAGGATATCGAAAACTTACATTGATTAGTCACTGGAAAGTAACTAATTTCATGTTGTCTAATTCTAAGTCCAGACAGCATTTTATCAAGAATTTCGCAGTGTGACCATCAAGCTAGGGGGCTTAGCGTCTCTGTATACTTTGATGGTTGTTATTTGGTTGGAGGTAATGAGGAGGAAGTCGTGGACTTAGGTTTTGAGTTTAATGACAACTCAGCATGCTGAACATGAACAACATGGCAGGAAATTTGTACTGTAAGCACAGTTACACACAATCTAACTATCAGCTTTTAAACTATTACATACACTTATCTACTATCCACCTTTTATTTAAGCTTAAAAATGTGTGATAAAATTCAGTTAGAAACTGAAATAATTATTCACTGGTTATTCCAGCCGACAGCAAAACTCTATTATTCCACTTAGCGGTTTAATACTGATTCAAAATTTTTATCGTACCTAAATATCCCTTAGTTATATTTTATGCCTTAAGCGAAAACTGTCTACATTTCAGATCATATGAACTGGAAGTTGTAATAACGGTTGGTAAACCTAATATGGCTAAATAAATGTATACTAATTCGTCTAATCCTTAGTGCTTAGCAGTAATCTGAGCTCATCGAACAAGATTAGAAAATATGGCTGCTAAGTGAAGTGATACGATGCGATGGTGCACCGTATTTTGGTTTCAGATGTCAGCAGCCAATCTTCAGGCAGCTGTGGACCTCAGTTTCATGCTTGCTGACACTGATCAACAAAGCACGTATCTGCAGCTATGGAGAAACTGGTGTTCCTTGGGTGACTCAAGTCTACATAACTCATTGTTAACGTAAAAGACTTTACCACTGAATTATTTATATATATTTTTTAGTTATTTTGTCGCATCACTACCATTTGTAAATGTAAACAAAGAGATGAGGCTAGTAACACCTATAGTTTTTGAGTATTAGGTCGTTTTGTGTATGGCAGCTACTTACGTAGTTATGTGTGATCAAAATTATTTTGTCAGAAAGTATTGGCTCTGAAACAAACTTTAAAGTAGGAATAAGGATGTTCTGCTGTCACTCAGTATCACTGGAGTCGATGCATACAAAATTGCTAGCAGTTTTTAATTTGGTCTTCTTACTTCGCGTACCCAGCATATTAAAACTCCCCTCATTATAAGTTTAACTGAGGAAGGAAATAAATAGCTTATAAACTTCTCTGTTTCACTGCAAAGTCGAAATATGGTTGGCAACTATCATTAATGTATTTTAAACTATTTATCAGAACAGATTTTGAAACTGCAATGAATTTTCTGTGACAACTGATGTTCAAAGAAATGCAACTGACGAAAGATGGTCAACAAAATACAGTGCATGTTGAAGGCTTCCTTCAAATAAACTGGTGGTGGGTGAATTTGAAGAACAAATGAAGATGAAGAAAAGTTAGACCAAGAGTTATCTCAGGTATAGTACGTGAAAGATGATGATGGGCAAAATTACAACCATGATTACAGTAAGTTTCCTGATCCTCAGGTATTTCAGAGGTGAAAACTATTAAGTGTCACTAAGCAAAACTTAAGTAGTTCACACAGAAGTACATCTCGTTTAACCACAACATGACAGTCAGCTATCATTCTGATACCAATATTCTCTGCAAAATATCCACTTTGTTTTTTTGACTCTGACCGGGTTTGAAATCTGTAGACTGAAAAGACGAGACTTTAACTGACTGGTTTCAGTTAATACTAATAATAATAATAAATCAGCAGTCGCCAGATTGACTGAAGTTTTAGCTAGACAGTATACATCGATTCATCAATAATTTTCTTGGTTGAAATGCCACACTGTCTCTGTTCAAGACAGAAATTTTTGTCTGTGATTAACTTCGTCAGCATTGTCTGCTGATAACATTTGCACCATGAGAACTGTTCAAAAATCCAGCATCGAAAAATAAAAAATACCTTCTAAAAACTCCGTTGGCAGGGTACTGAATTCACATAACACATAACTTATCTCAGTGATAATTCGGTCTCTTTGCATTGTGACATAATACCAGACCATGTACTATAGATTAGACAAGATCCCAGCTCTTACCACATGCAACTGCATTTACTAGTTTACAATTATACGAGGAAGAAAGTAAATCGTCGAAACAGAGGGGTATTTGTTAACTCAACCTCTGATGATGCATTATGAAACCAAAGTTTCAAGAAGTAGATCTTTTCTCAACTGTTCAATGACACACCAGATAATACTTGTGACTACCTGTGGAGGACATTCTAATTGATTACCAGTACATCATGTTTTCCCAATGGAGAGCTGCTACCTAAGCTTCCATAAGTTTTGAAAACATAAAACCTGATATTTTAATTTCAAATTTTTATCATCATCATTTACCTTACTCAAATGTTATTTTTAATTTATTTTACATTGCTTCATATTTGATAACTTAGCTAGCTTTTAATGAATGCATTCTTTCCCTATTCTTTTGAAAATATTCACCTTTTTGACCCTGAAAATGTTTGTCTTGTTTCATTGATTAGTAGTATTTTAAATTTCTTTTCTATTTTGTATATCACTGGTTTGACTCCAAATTATGAAGTAAAATCCTAGGCACCCATCTTAACGGTAGACTAAATAGTGACTGCTTATTTATATATTTAGGTTTTATATAGCTGATGCAAAATTATGGGGAATCAAATGAACGCTTCCTTTTCACAAATGTTTGAGCACAAATTCAGTAAGATTTCACTTATTTAATAGTATTCTTTGAATGCCTCAGGAGATAGTGATAGATAAAGATCATTTTAATGACGATAACAGCACAACTAGCCTACACAAAATTGATCATTGAAATATAATTCTTTGATTTATTGAAGTCATTTCGGAACAATTAGTCCGAGACGAACAATCAGTATAAAAGCAGTTGTTGCGGCAATATTGTCACAGTACGGTATATTTCAAGACAGTCATGGTTTTTGATATACCATTTCATTTACGATTTCTTACCTGGATGGGGTATTCAGTTTCCTAACTGGAAACAGTTTTATATTGTCTTAAACTGAGACAAGTATATTGGAATTATAGTATAATGCTGATTTCTGTTTGTCTAGACTTTTATTTGGGCAACATTCAACAGAAACCTGATGCCTGAGCTCACTTTTCAGATTGCCCTAACCTAATTTTCACTTTTTTGCGAATAACTCACTTATCACACATCGGTCGCTAATGCCATCAAAGTGATCACGAAAAAAATGTATTTCCGTGCTATGAATCTGTGTATGATTCTTGAAGATCACGAATATATTTGGTGCATTCTATGGACTAGTATTCAATTTGAATACATGTTGGCTGGATGGAGGCAATCGATAGGAAGCCCTGGATCTAGATTTCGTGCTTTTTGACCCTCGTCAGAAGGTGTATCTCCAAACTCGATGTAACTAATATCTTGCCTGAGATTCAAACCCGCACCACCCAATATTCCAGTCAGAGACGCTACCATGAAGCTGTTCGGGCCGTGACTTACCGGGTTGGATACACTGATCGGCGGAATTCGATCAGCACTTAGGACTAGATACATAAAAGTGGTCACCCTCCAGTAGTCAGTCATTGTTTTTGAATACGATTTCTACTATTCAGAACAATAAATAGACAAAATATATTGTTTTCTAAATGCAATGACTGTTGTCAAATTTCATTTTAGTTTTTATCACCTAAATTTATTCGGTTAAACTTAATAAACCAAAATCGGTCTCGTGCAACACATTAACTTTCCAGAAAGCTCTCATAACTCACTCGACATTAAACTGGGATGATCATCCAGAAGTCATTCAGCTGAGTCTCAAGTCCTAGTGGGAATTCGTTAGTCATTTAAGTACTTATGAATCTATCTGTCAACAAGATTCCACTAGACTGGAATAATAACTACTTTTAAACTAATACTACTTTAACTTAATTCAGTAGCATAAATATATTTTTTAGTGTAATGCTTATCTCACTTTGACTTAAACCATCAATGTCGAATGGTGGTGCTCTTTTCCTGATGTAGTCTTCTCGATTGTTAAGTTCTTTTCTTCTTTCTTCAACCAGCTCATCTTTCGCTTTTGCATTATCATTTCCTAAGAACAAGAAAAAAGAAAACGCAAAAGGTGAATTTTTCCTGAAGCCTTAAAACTGTGCTCGGATAATATTATGAATCCTCAGAGAAGAGGGATGAAAAGGTACCTCAAAGAGTCATTTGTCATAACATTCTGCAGTGAGTGGGTGGTATCAAAATCCTGACGGAAGTTTGTCCATGAATATGCTTTTGTGACAGTGTTCATGACTAAACAGAAGTTAATGAACAAAGAAGAAAAGCGGAGAAACGAAGGTACCTAAATGTTCAGTTGGTGTATATCCCTGAAGCTTACGACAGCATTATTTATACCTTTCCGTTTCTTGACAGTTGCACTAATACCCCATTTTTTATCGGTGGTTAAATTATCATACCCTTGATCAAATAATTGAGTGAATTAACTTCTCACTGGTTTAATTTCTCTGTTATCGGCCGAATCCCATGTATGTAGGTTTACGGTAATCTGAAGTCACTCAACAATTAGTTGATGGGCTGTTGAGATCACTGGTCTACATCAGGCTAAACCAATCACAAAATATAACCACTTATGACTTGTATTAGTGCATGAAGTTATAATTTTTTAGGACTTAAAATAGTTCTATTCTACTGGATTATTATAACTAGAAACAGCAAAGCTTCAGAAGGTAATTCAACTTTACTATCAAGCTTTTCTCGCTGGTTGGTAGATGAGTAGGCGAAATGAATGACATGTCATGGAAGAAGCTGAGCGCTGAGCCTCAATGACGTGGTTTCTGAAAATCTCTTGTCCACCTTGAATGCTTTATGAGAAAAAAAATTGTAAATTGAAAGTTGCCAATATATTTAGGAATTACTAAAAGCTTGATGAGACTGATAAAATCAACAAGTAACCTCGTGGAGAAGGAAACAGCTAGTGGCTGTAGATACCTGATATAACGGACCTGTGATCTCAACTACCAGTTTGGTTAACCTCAGATATTTATCAAAACGCCTTACTAAAAGTTTATATTATTGTTGTTTGTACCAGTTTGTTGATGGAAACATTGGTAGGTCTGAAAATCCTAATTAATACTAGGTTACTATCTATAGTGAGTTGTGCTATATTTGACATAAAATCATAAACACTAGAGCCATTTAGGTGTCTTATGATAAGATTATGTGACCTCACAGTCAAGATCAAGTTGAATGTTGACCAAAGCGAAGAGTAGTTTGTCTTTTATATTCTTCTCTGTGTGAACCAGACTACACTGAATCTTATGAGCTGATCCTCCAGGAACATGCTGCCAAACACCACCACGTTTCGCTAACTAAAGGCGAGCTGAGAACACCAACGACCATATGTGAGGATCGAAAAGGCCAGATCTTTCAGGTTCACGTGATTTGTCGTTTAAAGTCGTTTCGAGAAGTAAGTTGATTTACTTCGGAGATCTGTGTTTTCACCACATGTGTAAATCCCAAGCACTTGCTATGCATGATCAAAAAACTAAGCTCTGCATTCAAAGGTGCTTCGTAAAACCTTTTTCCCCAGTGCGGTACTAGTGATACATTCTATAATTAATTTTATTCGACTTCCCTTTGAATATGCCACAACGAACATCATCATCCCGACCGATAGCTGCTACCTTGACGTGGTGGTCGGGCTTGCATATCACAATGACCCAACGAGCTATGCTGGTGGAACGCTTGTTCCCTCGAGGTCCTACCATACCAGAAAGGTCTGTTGGGTAGTGGTTAGACGAAAAGCAGTTACCGTTATAGTGTAAATTGCTACACTATGATGGGGGTCTGAGGGCGAAGTCGTACTGCTGCTAGCTGGATGGGGTGTGACAGCAGTAAGGTGTTTCCCTTGGATGACCAGCAGTGCCAAGCTGATGCTGCCTTCTCAGTGGAAGGGGGGGTTAGAAAAGGTCGGCCCCAAAAATAACACACTCCACCACGCCCCACGGTCTGCCGGGCCGGCGGTGTTGGTTCACTTGTCGTTTCCTTTCGACCATCCGGCCCCAAAAATACAAAATTCAAAATAATCATACTCAAAAGGCTGGGTGTGACAGGCCTCAAGCAGATGTCCGATGGGCTCTGCGGTCACACAAATCTCTTTCAGGTACCTTAAGAAGAAATAGCCTTCCACGGTGTGGGCAGCCGGGAAGTGTCAACCGCCCTCACAACTCTGTCAGCACCCAAGTTTCTTCTGACTGCTATCCTCCTCCTCCATCATTACCTTCTAATCTTCCTTCACGTCTCTTAATTAATGATGCTGCATCATCTTCAATTTCTCCTACCTCTGCAGCCTTCGACAACGATCTGAGTCCACAGAACAGCATCCCTGGTCTCCTTAAACCACGCTCCAAATTACATATTGGAGCCTTCAATGTCCGCACCCTCCGTCAAATTGGCCAACAGGCTTCGTTGGCAAAGACTCTAGCAACTCGGGCATGGATGTGTGCTGTGTTTGTGAGACACGCATACAGGACCCAAGTGTGGTTATTCACCTGACCTCTCCTGACCAATCTGGTGAATCTGCAAAATTCACCCTTCGAGTTTCTGGAGATTCGATAGCTAGCTCTCGTGGTCTTGCAGGTGTAGGTATAGCATTAAGCACCAGGGCAGAAAACTCACTACTAGACTGGATCCCAGTTGATAGTCGCCTCTGCGCTATGAGGCTGAACGGCACAGTGAGAACTAAAAGGAATAGTGAGACTCGCCGTTGTCTCTTTGTAATCTCTGCTTACGCACCCACTGACTGTAGTTCGGATGAAGTGAAGGACGAGTTCTACCATAAACTGTCTAACCTCCTCTCGAAAGCCAAACGTTCGGACGTAGTGGTTGTTGCAGGTGACCTCAACGCACAGGTGGGTAGACTGAGTGAGGCAGAAAGGCACTTAGGTGGCACTTTCGGAATCCCAGCTGAACGTACAGATAACGGTGATCGCCTATTACAACTATGCTCAGATAACCGCCTATTTTTAGCCAGCACAAATTTCAGACATAAAGAAAGGCACTGTCTGACCTGGCGTCCACCGAGCTCGACTCAGCGATGGACACAGATAGACCACATTGCTATTAGTCATCGCTGGAGAGGATCGGTGGAAGACTGCCGCTCCTTCTGGAGTACGTGTTTGGACAGCGATCATGCGTTGGTCCGAGCACGTATATGCCTGCGTCTCAATGGACGTAGAAAAAATTTGGCAACAAAACCACTACGAGTTCTGCTGGACAACGAAAACACCAAAGCCGTGTTCAGTGAGAAGTTGGCTAGGCAGTTATCGGAACAAAAGACTGTCACTCATCCAGAAGAAGCTTGGTGCCATCTTCAGTCTACTGTAAAAGCAGCACTGGAGACTGTAGCCGACTCCAAGATAATGGCTAAAAAGAGCCAGTGGATATCAGCAGCTTCTTCCAAACTAATGGATGCACGTGAATGCATCCCTGCAGGCTCTGAGTACAATGAAGAGCGAGCGCAACTTAAAAATAACTGACGAAAAGTCTGCGCAACGATCGTGAACAGTGGTGGGCAGCAAAGGCTAAAGAGATGGAAAAGGCAGCGGCGATCGGTAACAGTAGACAGTTATTTAGACTTATTAAGGAGACTGGGGGGAAATGGTCAACAACAGTTAGTGAGGTTATAGCGGAGAAGGACGGATCGGCGATTCACTCGCAGGGAAGGCGACTGGGACGATGGGCAGAACACTTTGAGGAACAGTTTAACTGGCCTCCAGCCACCATTGCGCTGCCCGCTATCCAGTCGGACCCTGAATGGGACATAGAGACAGGTCCCCCAACACTAGAAGAAGTTGAGAAAGCGGTAGGTAGCCTGAAACGGGGAAGGGCAGCAGGACCAGACGGACTACCTGCTGAGGTATACAAGAATGGTGGTAGAGTTCTCTTAGTCAGGCTAACGGAAGTGTTAGCCAGTATATGGGAATCAAATACGATCCCCTCCGACTGGTCTAAGTCACTCATCATCCCAGTCTTCAAGAAAGGCGAGAAGTCCTCTTGTGATAACCACAGAGGAATCAGCCTGACAAACATAGTGTCTAAGATCCTAAGTTCTATAATTCTCCGACGCCTGAGTGGAGCTCGGGAACAGCAAGCCCGAGAAAACCAGGCAGGCTTTAGACCTGGCCGTGGATGTATCGACCAAATATTCACACTGCGCCAGGTCCTGGAACATAGGCATGCTTACAGACGCCCGACAATAGCTGTATTTCTCGACCTGAAGGCGGCATTTGACTCCGTTGATCGAGAAGTCTTATGGCAGTGTCTGTCACTGAAAGGCGTGCCTAGTAAGTACATCACCTTATTGAAAGCTCTCTACTCGAACACTTGTGGGCATGTTAGAGCCTATGGTGAGTTGTCCAGGGAGCTATACTCATCAAGTGGTGTCCGTCAAGGATGCCCACTATCCCCATTCTTATTTAATTTTATCATAGATATTCTTATGGAGGTTTCCCTCTCGTCACCTAATTACAAGACGTTGACCCGATCACAGGTGAATTTTCCTTAGATCTAGAATATGCAGATGACATAGTCCTGTTAGGTGAAGACGCTGACAAGATGCAGAGTCTTCTGAACACTTTGAGTGGGAATTTGAGAATGTTTGGGATGCGATTTTCACCACCCAAATGCAAATTTTTGCTCCAGGACTGGTCTTCAGCGGTACCGCGGTTAACAATAGAGAGTGAAGTGGTTGAGTGTGTTGACCACTTCACTTACCTGGGAAGTAGGATCAACCCGGTGGGTTAGTTGCCGATGAGATTTCTGCACGGATACAAAAGGCTCGATTGGCTTTTGCCAATTTGCGCCACCTATGGCGCCGCCGTGATATTCGTTTGTCTATTAAGGGTCGCGTGTACTGCACAGCAGTCCGCTCTGTTCTACTGTATGGCTGTGAAACATGGCCATTGAAAGTGGAGGATACAAAAGGTTCAGGTGTTTGACCACCGTTGCCTTCGTAGTATAGGACGTATTCCGTGGTGTCACCATGTGAGTAATGCAGAAGTTAGGTGTAGAGTTTTAGGGAGAAGAGGTAAGTCAGTCGACGAGGTTGTGAACCTTCATCGACTGAGATGGTTGGGACACGTACTACGTATGCCTAGTCACCGATTGCCTCGTCACACAATGTTGGCTGAGGTGGGTTCAGGCTGGAAAAAGGCCCGAGGTGGCCAGACTAAAACATGGCACCAATGTATGAAGTCTCTGACTGTTGGTTTAAGCCATGTAGGACGATGCAGACTAGGTGGTTGGGGTCCACGGGACAAGAGGAACCAGTGGTTGGAGACCCTAGGTGATATGGCTCAGAACCGAAGTCAGTGGCGCAGATGTATACACACATTATCCTCATCTTAACAACGCTATACCGAATCTCACTATTTTGTCACTCCTCTTTCCTTTCTTCTCGTACTTTATATTTCTTTTGACTGCATTCACTTATCTTCATCCTTCACCTCACTACCTTTTTACTTGATGTGCTGATATGAGGTGTGGCAACTCGGACCGTTACGCAGTAATGCCTGGTCCTATGTTGATAATGATGATGATCATTATTACCGTTTCACGTGTTTTGATAGAACGTGGTTCATACTTCGCCGCTTGAGATCATTTCTTGCCTTTTCAGTAATCCTTTCAGCATATTTTTTCCATACGAACTAACTTGTACCACTAGTTTTTGCTCAGAATGGTTCTGACTTTTAAGTACAACCATTTAACATTTTACCAATCACTTGATTATACAACTTGACAGTAAACTCATTTGAATTGAATGATAAAATAATATGAGATACTACAACGCTACTAACGCAGTGAAACACTTAAACTAAATACGAATAACAACTGTTTGCTCTCAGATTTGATATTTCACTGAGCCGCGAAAATCAGAAGATAAAGACTGGTCTGAGAAAGACATTATTTATCTACAGTTTTCCCTCGGAAAATAAAGCCACTTGGTCATAAGAGGAATACTTATTTTGATTATTCAGCTGAAGGACAATATTATTCAGTAGGGTTTTTCCACCCACACAGTAACATGAAACCAAGGTTGAAATCCAAAACTTTCTACCTTGATGGTTGATGACCTAGAATCCCAATATCGATTTAGGCCGCTTCCTGTCATCATTAAAAATAGATATTTCTTCTTACTTAATTCAAACAAGTTAATAAGATTCATTTGTATGACGGTAGTTTAGGGCACTGATACAGTTAAATTTCAAAAATTCTAAAGCTGAGAACTGTGGATTAGTAAACTTTGACTAGTGATAACAAGCTCGTTATTACTGATCTCTTGCAGTATCCCAAGTTTTTAAAGGTATGTTTTGATTGATCAAAGGGCATAAAAGCCTTTTGACAGGATTTATTGGGTCGATTTGAAAGATATTTCTGACTAGAAATCCTTGTTATAGCTATCTGGATTTAATTTTAAAACTGCACACTTGTGAACTTATCAGTCAGAGTCATAAGATTGGAAATTGCTCAGTTCATCAACAGTATTAGAGTGATCTTGAGTAAATTAGTAATTAGAGATTTTAAGTAATGCATATATTAGTTCAGTTAAGTTTATTTCTTTTATATTGTTCCCCTATTTATCATTCCAACTTATTCGATATTTCTCTACTTTTGATTTCTCTCATTTTTCAATTTCTCTCCTACCTTTTCAGTCTACTAGCCTCACTTCGCCTTTCTTTCACTACTATATAAAATAGGCTTTAGAAATTTTGTAAAGCAAAAACTGGTATACAGATTATGCTGTTAGGCAATCGCATATGCAGATTTAGTTGGGTGAAATTTACAAAGCAGATACCAGTTGGTTCTGTCATACTTTTTTGATGTCATGTTCAACGTTTTTTTTTGTTACAAATATCACTACTATTAGAATGATTATGATTTCAGTGATCATCAACGACTTAGTTCTGTTTGGTATCTTTGTAGTGGGTATGTTATTTGAATTAAGCGTTAAAAACACAAGAAAGAGAGATAGAGAGAAAGGAGTAAGGTTAGAGTAACTGGTAAAGTAATCTCGGTCATCTATCCTAATAAATGATTTATAGAAACTAAATTACTTATAGTTTTCATTACTTACCTAAGTAAGGAAAAAGGAAAGACTTGAAGAGTTATCTCATTCTAATACTTACTGCATTTCTAAAGTGTGTTTACTATCAACTTCTTACGTGTGTTGAAATATGAGTAGGTTCTTGCTTGAAAATGCTACCCTGTACAAATAAAACTTAATTCAGTTAGTTATGCTATTTTGGTGACTTGTAGAGTTATCTTCTCCTTTCCAGTTTAAATTCACTGATATTTCTTAGAATCGCGGAAGCTTGATGTGATGGAAGTGTTCACTGGTGTCAGACAGTCTTTACAAAAATATATGTGAAAAAAATCAAACAGTTTCAGTCCTAATTACAATCAATATAAGCTTTGGACATTTCAAGTTACATCTGATTCTCTATAAAGAAGTTGAACTTCCGTATAACCTAAGGGTTCTAATAAAGGCATGGAAAATTTGTCAAGTTTTCCATCGGTTCTGCAAAAGTGAACTCTGTTCTTAATGATTACTATTGAAAGGATATACTGCTAGTGATTATGTCAACATATAGCAACAGGTATCAACCAAAAATATTAAAAAAAACAGATTGATTACATCCCTAATGGCATGCTTGATAAGTAGTTAGTCAGACTTTTATCTGGAAACTTATGACGAACAATGTCAGCCTAGACAGACATGTGTATTTTCTGTGACTGACAAGTATTCATAATCTTGTAGGGGTGGATATAAAGTACACTGTATAATCAGTTCCTTCGATTAACATAAACACTCCAATAGGGACTCGTCTATCAAGATATGATGACGTCGTTTTGTTTCTCAAGATTTTTTTCAGTTCACTTCAGTCTGAATATGTAGTTGACTGACAGTTGTAAACCCGTACTTAAGTTCTTTTGAGAATAATTCATGTGTTGGAAATAGAATGAAAGACAGCATAATGAGAGTCTCATTCGCACCGACTCTATCAAACTAGACGTGTATTCATAACATAAGTAGATGAATGTTCTGAAACAGGTAAGAATAATTCATATAACTGAAGATAAAGGGAGAGAAGGTATGCTGTTCAAGATGATGGCAATGTATGATTAACGACTTTAATGACAACGATAACTTAAAGTTAAAATGTTCATAATATTACAAAGAGTAATAATAATTTGAAATTGAAGAACAGTAGAAACAGAAATGCAAATTAAAAAGTGGCATTTAGGTTTTTATAGAGCAAAGGGATTGACTACTGAAGCTGTGAAAGATTTACCGTCATTCTTAGTTGAACACATAAATTAAGTCGAATTCGCTTGAAGGCTATGGCTTTATGAAACCAAAGTGTGCTCTCTTGTCTGTTAATGATTTCATACGCCTATGATATCTCAATTTCATGCTTTGTTACCATTATGTAATAGGTTATTTCACTTGGTTGTATTGTGTTCTCTGAGAACACAACACTGTAGAATCCAGAGGGATAATTATCTCCCTTTCCTTTCGGCTAACTTGCTTTCACATGTAAATCAGTGAGCAAAATTTGGTAAACAGAGAGTCAGTATCTTATTCACTAAGTGGATAATTAGGCATGCTGTTTGACGCAAAGGCAGCAGCATTTCAAAACGTTGTCTTTATTCGCTATGCTTTATCACTAACTACGATGTCTAGTCACATTAAAACCAATTCATTATCAACTTCGCTGTATTTATGTCTCTTTCTGTTGATCGTTTGGTATTTTCGGATAGATTTTGGGAGGCATGGATGGCCTGTTAAACACTTACCAATCAGCTCCAACTGTCAGTCTGTAACCGTTTATATCATGAATACCTCTGTTCTCTGAAACAATTCCTCACCTTGTTCAAACCCCTTATGAAGTTATATTTCTTCTAGCCTTAACCTTTTCAATTTCAGATTATCAGTTACCATTATCACCTGGAGTATGAAACTGTACATGGTTGCTGAGTTACGTAAAATTAATTCAACAAAACATTTAAGCAAGTCGAAAAAATCTACTCAATTTATGAGATAAATTTGGTCCTTAAGAAGTTTTCCATTCTTGTCTTAAAGAAAATAAAAACACTAGTTGGTGTAAATTAACAAGGAAGTTTTTACGGGTCAAAAAAAACTTTTCAATCAGCAAAATACCTTTAGTTTTTTTCTTCTCTCTTTACTCATACCTCCAAGACCTTGCTTTCGATAGGTCATTCTTCGTGCTTGATGATTTCGATTAACCTCTTGCTCTTCAATTACCTTTGACTTTGTTAACAGATGAATGTATAAGAAGAAATAAATCAATAAGCAACAAATAAAAATTCATGTGTTCATGATACGAATATTCAGATGGAATAAGCATTATAACTGATAGTCTAATCTGCAAGGTCTGTAGTTCGGCAGAAGTCAATGTTCTTTTTCTTCCTTCAAAATAACCTGCATTTGATGACAGACTCCAATGGGATTTATCTTCTCTTTTATCTGTTTAGTTAGATAACACTTATGCAAGACGAGGCTTCATTGCTTTTTCATTAGAGTTGAGTTAATTTTTACACTTTTGCAGTATCATCCTTACTAATCCGTATGCAATAAAAGTGGATTGATTACGTCATATCCACAAACATTTGCCATAATTTCATACTCGTGCTTAAAAAATTAACCAACTAACCAAATAATAGTGAATTTTTATTACGTAACGAAAAGGTAAAAAAGGGATCTTAATTAACTATTATTGGCCAAATTACTTAATCTACTCAAAAATACATATTACTTAAGAATCATTTTATAGTATTATTGTATAGCTCAGCTCAAAAGCTTTTTACTTATCCCTTACCCAATTTCGTCTTAAGTTCAACTCAGTTGATGACTCCTAAGCATACATAAAGCGTAGTGAGCGCAGTGATGTTCAGATAATGAGGCATGAAGAAAGCAATAGTCGTGTAACAAAGTTATATATTCTCCAGTAATTAGTTCAAACATCTAATATCAACACATATCAGTCTACTTGTGGCTAAAACAGATTAGTGACAGGGAGTTCGTTTTGTTTAGACGTGATCCAATTCACATAAGTTTAATTGTTTTTGTTTATTTTTCTACTAGTTCTAAGGAGTAGTTAGTTGACAAATATCGATGATATCTGCCGGCAAATAACGAACTTGACTCCTCATATGTGTCCTTCAATGGTGCGATGGCATTAATTGCCTGCCAATAATAAAAAAGCTCACCTAACTAACTATTCTTAGTCCTATCTAATGAAGAAAATATACACAGTATGGAAAATTTCATTGGTTCAATAACAGCACTTCAAAACTTGTTAACTTATCTCACATTTCTATATATTTTATCATTTATAGTATGGAGAATAATAGGTAACGTACTTATACAAATAGGATAAGCCAAAACTACTTAACAATTCAAAGACCACCTGTTGACAACCCCAAATACATTGTGCTTAAGTATCATATCACTTAAGTGAATGACTAGTTTGCACTTTGACCAATACTTCGAACAATAGGCCGGTTGGGAGTGCAATCTAATGATTAGTTCATAAACATTTTTATAAAAAAAGGGAAATTACTTCTGTTCCATGTTGTAATTAAAACTAGTGTTTCTCACAGAGGAATCTGAATACTAGTCACTAACTTGGTTGTCTGGTTATTATTACAATATTTTAAAAACTTTCGGTGTAAGGAAAGGATATGTAATACTTACGTGTCTTTTGGATGCTCTAGCTTTCTTGACCTTGAAGATATCGAGACGTCAAAATAAATAAACAATAAGGTAGTTTTATTTATTGGTAACAAAATAATTCAAAAATATTCTGATTAGTATTCATTTTAGGCAATATGGTTTTGCATGATTTTGAAAGAGCAGAATGTCTTGAAAATCTGTCTTCATTTTGAAGTGTGCTGATTTTCTTTTTATTGACTTAAGTAAAAAACAGTGAGCCATTGAACAACAACACAGTGACTGAATGATTGACTCGTTCACCGGGAAACCTGAAGGTAGAGAGTTCCATCCCTATTGTCGTCTTCCGTGTGGACTACTGAAGAGCCACATACTAGGATAAAACTCTTGTTCAGTGCTCCTGGATTTTCAATATTTCTTCAACTTATGTCATTCCATGATGAATGTCAACTTAAAATCAATAAGTTCTCACAAATCTCCAAACTCAACCAATAATGTAGCATGGTTGAGGTGGATTGTTCAAAACAATGAGAATAACAGTTGCTATTTAAGCATTCAAAAATGACTGTGGTTGAATTTGGCATGGACATGAAATTAGCCGATTGCATAACTATGCATAATATGGTTATCTCGTCAGTTATAAATTTCTTTGATAACCAATTACATTTTCCCCACAAGGGGTTCGTTTTTGTGAATGTAACCTTTGTTCAATTCGATTGTTCCGCATTTCTAGAAAATGAACGGTCTAAATCCCTTAAAAGAGAAGATTCTGTGGCCTTCGTGATACTTATTGAGTAAGTATAAACCACCCACACGAGCCAACTGTAATCAGCAGCTAAACTAAGGTAACTTGAAAGGCTAAATGGTGGTTTCACCTGCTCGTAATCAACGTTATCAGTGATATAGCGGCACTGATCCAATTTAACAAATGAAACCGATATAGTTACTAAAATTTTCACTATCTCCTTCAATGAGCTAATGATACATAAAATAGGTCAACTTGTTCTTAGACTTTACAATCTCAGATACAAAAGATACAGATAAGTGAAACTCGACTGACAGAATTTTCTATAGTTTCATTTGGAAACCAAAACATCGGTAATGAAATATAGGATACACTTACTTTTCACTTTTAGCAATACCAAGACTGACAACATAAAGATTGTGTGATATGCACAACTGACTGGTATTTGTTATAGGGGGGGAGGAATAAGATTACCAAGATCTTCATAAGAAGCGGTAAATACCAATAATCAATCGCGCCACTTCGAAGTTTCAAGAAAAAAAGTGTGAACCTAACTGTAAATACTAGACTGGTTGAATGGAAAAAATGAGTAGAATATGTCATTCTAGAAGGGCCTAAAAATGGTCAAGGCCAACATGACTATATATAAACCGTTGAATTTGGATATATTTCGAAGTTGTAATACACCTTTTGTAGTTTCAGCGTCTTTTCCATCTATTGAGGAAATGAGCAGCCATCGAGGATGAGATCCGAAGCTTATTGTTAGTGTCCACTCTCTCTCTCTCTCTCTCTCTCTCTCTATACATATATATATATATATATATATATATATATATATATATATATATATATATAGGAAGTATCGGTATTAATAGCCATCATTAGTTAGCGTGAATGGTCCACAAATAGTCATGTCCGCCAGTAGTATATGTCAGACAGAATTTATGTTTACTATCTTGAAACTAATCATGGTGTTGAATAGATCATATATTTTAGTCAGTAATATTTTGGTTTACAAATAAAATAATAGTGAAATTTAGCAAATGAGCCTTATTCATTGATATTATTCTCACCTTGTACTCTGAAAACACCTGATTCAACTCGTTTATTACAAACTTATCACTAAAAACTAAGTATTCTAATTTAACTAATATGATAAAAGTTTTGGTAAATAAAAGTGGCCAGTTAACCCTATTTAAATCACCGGTTACAAATGATAATAATTAAATTTAAAAAATCTGTTTCTACCTCTTCACGTTCTTTGCGCAATTGTTCTTGGTGTTTCTCCATTTCCTAAATAAAAAGACAATATACAATAGGTTAGTAAAACTATAAATGAAAATCTTTTTAATGTAAATAGTAGTAAGGCTCTACCACCAACTTAAGGCTGTTCATTTCAAGATGCCTGTAAGTTTGAAGTTCCTTAAATCTCGGCATAAATCTAGCTTCCCGAAATCCGAATTAACCGAGATTAGCTGATGTTTTATAATTTGTTTATCCTATTGTTTCCCTCGTTATGGCATATTGAAGAACCACTTAAATTGGTTTACCAACAGAGTTCGATTTAGTGAAGCAAAAACTAAGAAAACACAGTCCAAATAATTTGATGTCATTCACCTTCAGGTAACACTGAAATCTTTTCTTCAATAATCTTTAGATATAATCAAAGGTAAGTGATGCTATTTTGTATGGAAACGCTAAATAAGCATATTTTTAAAGAACTATGAACAATGCTTCCGATAAATTTATTACAACGAGAAGATAATGCTTACAAGATATACAAACAATGAATTTTACGGTACTGAGAATCACCCCCACCATCCCTTTTGAGATATTTTGTATTTTGGGCTTTTGTTAAAGAAATTCCGTGTGTCAGGAAGATGAAGTTGTAGAAGAATCCAAATGAAACGTTCCTTTTTGTGTGACAAAAGCACTTACCTCAGCATTTTCGTTTTTTAAGTTCAGCCTAGATCTTTCAATTATCATCAAAAAGCTGCGTAGCCTTAATGACTGGGTCAAATACGTGAGTGCCAGCAATAAGTTCAGAGGATCAGAAAGTAGGATTTCGTTTATCTCAACCAGCAAACAGTTTAATTAACTTATTGTAGCGTATCGTCATAGAAGCTGCTAGACATGCACCATCATATGTCTATCCCAGGAGAGATGGATAAATAGACATGAGCTTCACAACTGACCTATTATGTCCTCAAGCACACAGTTTCCCTGTTTTTAACAATAAATTCATTAATTGTTATCAGGAAAACATGTTTTCGTGGAATTAAATAAATTTTGCATAACAGGTGGTTGAACCTCAACAGTGATTTAATAAAGTAACTTTGCTTTCATTACAGAGGTGATTGTAACAGAATAAACTTAGAACATCTGTTGACTGAAATATGAATCGCATGTATCGTCATCAAAAAACTGAAAACAGTTGAATGCCATTTCCCAATGAATTTGTTTACGCACTTTTGCTCTTTTCCAATTCGGTATATCGGTAACAATCTCATCGGATAGTAGCGGAAATGTTAAACTTTTACGCATCGAAATATGATGTTTTCTACTGGTGTGCAGTATAATTATGTAACTTGGTAGCGATTAGAGGTGATACGAAACCGAGACTGTTTTCCTCCTGTCTAATAGCCGGTCGACTGATCTGTCGCTCGCAACTGCCGACGACAAATTTGCTTATATCGCCTAGAGGTAAACCGTCTGTTATTCGAGTGAATGGAGCGTAACTCTCAGCTCATGGTCGTCACAACAGTTGTTCAATTAATGTTTTCTCTTTTCAATCCAAATGGAGGTGGATTAGAGAGGTGGAATGACTAGCTGTTAATTGGTAAGACTATCAGAAATGACTACTGTTTCGTAACAAGTATGATTGTCATACGTCCACAGGTATGTATTGCTTCTCTAGGCAGCTAGTAGATTCTTCATTGAATGAAGAAAATTAAGAGTTTAATTAGCAGTTAGGTCTTTTGGCTTAGTCGTTAGGGCTTCAAGTAGGTAACGTACAAACCACTTCAAATCCGTAAGCAATTCAGACTTTTGTTTTCATTTTGGTCAAAGGTGAAATGTAATTTCTAAATATAGGTTTACATAAGTATATGGTTCATATACTTATATGAACATCTTAGTACCAGTTTGGAACCTGTAAGTCTGGTTGTGTTTTGATAACAACAACTATTACACCAACCTTAAAACAAGGTGACAGAAACAAGGGATTAAATTATCTAGAATATTATGAAATTCACTGTAGAGGTGAAAAGCCGGCAAACAGTTAACAAAAAATGTATGTAATTCTAGCTTTATTCTTTCATATTTATTGATAAACATTTTCCAAAATGTTTTTGATTATGATTAAATCAGATGGAAATAAATTCTTCTTTTCTGTTTACTTTTCACTGTTGACAAGGGAAATATACACTTCGCAATACAAGTAAACAAATAAACAAAATATACGCATAATAATATTTTATTGATTTAAATGGTTCATATCTTTAATTTTTATGTGTTTACTATCTTTAATAAGAAAGCAGTGTAGTGGTTAGCAATGGAAACAGTAAACATGGCTGGAAGACAAACGGTTTTAATGTTGCTGTGTAGATTTGTTTGATCTTCCATCACTTTTTACTTAGATACAAATGTGACATTTATGCATTCTAAGTATTTTTCGGTGCATATTATATTCAAAACAGTAGCAGTACACGTGGTATACTACGAAGATAAGCAAAAGTGGTTTAGACATGAATAAAAAGTATTTATACTGGGTGATAACTGAAAGTGAGATGGAAATTTGTACTGCAGCCGGAGTCGAACCGGTGGCCACTAGGTTTCTGGCCCCATGCTCTACCAACTGAGCTACGAGGTCCCACTGCTGACCAGATTTTTTATTTCACCTCAATCACCAAGGGTGTTGCCCGACTACTATATGAATTCGTGACGCGTTCCTACTGCTTGATCATATTCACACCGGGAACCCGATGCTGGCTGGTTAGAATCCGACAGCGGTCCAAATTTTCATCTCACCTTCAATCATCGCCCGGTATAAATACCAGAATGCCAAACTACAGCAATCTCAGATAGTCAAGTGATAATAAAAAATATCATTTCCATGAGAAGTTGAGATATACTCAGTAGTACTTAAGTTTATACTAGAAAATGACATATTTCCACCGTAGCTACGGAAATTATATATATATATATATATATATATATATATATATATATATATATATATATATATTGTTTACTGATGAGAATTCTTGTCGTTGAGTAGGTATAGCTATTAATCAACTGCCGTTTCCCTATACGTTGAGCTCCTATCGTGTATCACACAAACCTAGAAGCAAATAAAACTGGGCATCATGCTGTATTAATGGAGAGAAAATGACATTTACACGATGATCTATATGATGTTGCCATCATAGGCTGATATGATTTGAAAAATCACTAGAGATTTGAAAGTATTTTAAACCTGTTTCATCTTTTACTGAATTCAATCTGAAGGTTTGTGGAAAATCATCTAAACACTATACCGTACATATAAATAATTTAATACAATATGTAGTTAACTGATTTAACCGGCTGATGTGGAATTAGATTTATTGGTTGTTGGAGGCGCATCCTGTCCAAAAGGGTCCAAGATCGCTACTTTGCTTAATTTCAAGAAAGTTGGCAGTCAATTCATTAAAAGTGCTGTAATTAAATAAATTATCAACGCTAAAAACTCGATTTCAACAAGATTTTCCCCCAAAGTTATGTACAGAGAGAAAAAAAATTCACCAGAGGCAGTGAATACCCACTTTTTATGGTTTGTCGAAGCTTGGTTTACTCTTTCTAAAAATCCAAAACGTTGGTCATATTCTCAACCATATTAAATAACCTCTCTTACTCACATTGTTTCGCTCTTATCACGCCTTCTGTAATATTAGCTCCTATCTATTTTTATGCTCTTTTTGGTGATGATTCACTCTTTAGATATTTTGTCATATTACGCAATTTACTCTGGGCAAATGATGACCTGTGTTAAATGTCTATCAAATACTTGACCTATTTGCGCTTTCCTTAACCATTTTCTTGTTTTTGAGTCATTGCGATTCACATCACCTGTTACTCTAACCAGTCGGCTGAAACTCTTGCTTGCACTGAATATGTTCAAGAAGAAAATCGTATCAAGTTCTAATTCTACCGCTTCGGAAATAAAATCGACGGAATAGGTGTCTTCATTAAACTGCTTACGTTTTCTTGTGTCTTGATGGTAATCTTAGAATTGTGCTTTGATTTTTTTCTCTCAACTTATTAACTTTTCCCTAGCATTTTTACAGTATCATTTTGATGAAAACCTATCCATCAAATAAAATATCATACTTATAGTTCCGAATGTATCTCCTGAATGTTGATTATTTATTTAATCTAAAATACCGTGAACATTTCTATGATACCATACTCATCAGTATTTCTCAAGTCAAAACCAATTTAATTACTTTGTGTATATAGTGTTTTAAATTGAAACTATTAAATTTTCCTACCACCGAGTTTTCCTGATTAAATCTGACTTCGCTAAATTGAGTCCATCAACCCTAATCTTAGTTTACGTGATAAATGACAACAGTCAACAAGACGTATTTATGCATACCCTTGAGGAAACGTATACCGCTACGGAAAATCCAACCAATGTCGGATATTATTAAGGATAGAAGTTTTGTCGATAATTTATTCACTTAACTCGCATCAAGCTTTTAACTAATGCTTTCGTATATCCACTTTTTTCGATACTTATAAAATATCATTTGACGAGATAGAATTATTGTCCCAGAACAGAATAGATGAAATATATTTATAAAATCGCAATTAGGTAGAAAAATAAATTTCTGACATTTTGCTACCTCATGGAAGCTGCTTATCTGGATTAGTGGCTTATACGATGTCATGAAATATCTGGAAATTATTTTTCTAATTCACTGGGATTTTAAAAATATATTTCCTTTATAATCCATTCATCAAAATTTTTCAACTCTTTCAACACTCAGGTGAAAGTTTGATCCAAAAGTCTAAAAAACATTCAAATTATTTACGTTGAGCGATACATAGACTGGAGTTAGTGTTTTTCAGAAGTTTCATTGTTCAGCTAGACACCAGATCCAGACAGAATACACTGCTGGCCATATAGCAAGTTATCTGCATATTTCTTGACCAACTCAAACCTCTTTTTTAATAAAAATATGGTTTGCACTTTGGTAAGTTATTGACTGAGTTGTAAGGTCTCTTCAGTAGTATGAATAAAATAAAAGCTTAATTATCATTTTAAACAGTCAATTCTTATGACAATGAACAATATTTCTATCTCATTAAGCATCAAATAGTAGTCCCTCTGAACTGCAAACAATTAACTTTTGCACACCTGATGCTTTGCAGTAAGACAAACGACGTAGTGACAGTACAGGAAATGCGACTCAGTATATGCCATAATGATATTTTTTGTACACTTAGTTGTCTGTACTGAAATGCACCAGTGCTAGGACATAAATGAAACAAAAGTAATGAAAAATCCTTTCCGGTGCATTACAATAAAATAAACCTATGACAGTTCCTTCCTTATCTATAAAAAGAAATTTACTCTTGGAGGTGAGAAGCATACACTTTACTTATATGAATACCTACTACTACTTATTCGTGATTTGACTGGACTTTACGTTACCATGAGGTAGAAAAATGTCGTCTGAAAGGTAGCTGATATACCTATAGAAAACTCAAAATATTCTCCAAATGCTTCTATTTAAATTAAACAAATGTACTGATCTGCATTGTTGAATCATGTAACATAGAGGCTACGACAGTGAATCTGATCACATCTTTCTTATTTGGCTCTGATGACTGTAAACATATTAATTGCTATTCGACGACTGATTCTTGTTAATTGCAATGAGGAAAGAATAATGTTCCGTCTAGTAAGACATAAGTAACGGATAGAAATGGTAACAATGAAATTTTATGAACGACCTAGAAAGGCTCAATATTCATGCAGACTATTTCTTAACATGAAGTATTATTAGCATGATAAGTAGTGAAAATAGGAGGGTATAATATAACTGCTAAACTTGAATTGGCCCTATCCCTGAAGTGCAGAGACATGAGAAAGTGCTTGAAACTCAATCCTTCCGAAATACATTACAATGGATGACAGCTGTAGAAAATATACTACTGTAGGTAAATTCTATAAACAGTGAAAACCATTATCGAATAAATCAAGTCTCTTAAAATAAACTATCGGAATGATAACAACGTAATTTCTTCTCAATAAAAATAGCCTACCTCACGCTCTTCTTGAAGTAAGCGCTGTTGTTCTGTTTCATACTAAAACAAAAATGGAGTTAAAGAATATTGACAATGAACTTTTTCTCGCAGTACTTACATTTATAATACAAAAATAGTAAATTTTGACAGCACAGTTATCGGTTAGCAGTAACCTTTAGATTCTTTTAGCCCTAGAACTATCTATCTACTGGAAACACTCTTGAATGACAAATTTTTTTGTTGCTGCACAGAATTGTGCACGCTTAACTACCTTATAAATAATTCTGATTATTTCATAATGCTGAAAATTTGGAATCTGTAATATGTGCAAAATCAGTGTTGATTAAAAACTACACTAAATACTACAGTAAGGTTCTGCGTATTTGTAAATCATCCAGTTGTGTACTCTGATGTGCAGGATATTTAAATAACCAAATTGCTGCCACCATCAAAGGAAAATTGCTTAATTTACAAAGAGCCATCAACCTGTAGATAAAGTGAGATTTTATTCAGTCTAGGGATGCTATAGTGGACGATCTTGCTAGATTTTTCTTATCTTGCTTTTCTTCATCAAATTACCTGTGGATTTACTGATATCATTCATCAGTGTGTTGTTGGTATTCATCACGAACTGTCATCATTCGGAGAACCACTGAAAACCTGGAAACAATGGATAGTTGTTTTGTTCTAGGTTGGGACCCCTCAGCAGTGCTCACCCACTACCCCACCGGGGGTCGAACCCAGGACCTTCAAGTATTGCAGAAAACGCATTATCGTGGAGTTAGTCGGTCGGAATCCAATGATCCACATTTTGTTACTTCTTTCAATTCCCGATATAGCAGGATCGTCAATCAATGTCATCGTTGAGGACTTGTTCTCAGGTCGGACTTGGTTTGCATCACCAGTCACTGCTTCTCATTCGAACTTCAAGAAGTGCCATCTAGAAACAAATTACTAATGAGTAGTGAATAGTAATTCCCTTCTAAAATTTGTGGGGATTTAAAGATTTCAAGTTGGTTTTTATCACGGAATGGCACTTATGGCTGCTAAATCTCAGAATGCTAGTAAGGATTCTTACTAGTTTCCATATTTTCCATAAACTACTGATAAATATTTGTAACTAGTAGTATGCATGGATACGTTTACAACAAGTGACGTATATTACAACATATCGTTCTAAAACAACTCACATCCTTTTCTTCTGCCTTCAAACTAACGTGACGGTTGATTATCATAGATTCTGGTTTCTAAATTGATGAAAAAAATAGAGGAGAAAAAGAAACATTTTTCAACTGGTAGCCATTCAACAGTTTGCAATCTTTGATGTCAACAACAAAACCCTCATTTCTTACAAAGTCTTTGTTTCCTTTTATCAAGCAAAATGTGTCCAACTGTTGTGTAATTTAGACGGCTTCGAGTAATTTGCTGCATAGCTCAGTGCATCGAGGATTCATTCTATACTTCTAAGATTGTTATTTGATTGCTATTTATTGATATACTTGTAGTACTCCGTTGTTTTACTGGATCGAATTGTTCGACCTGGATTCTTTTACTGGCCACAACCAAGCAAATTATCATTGTTATTTGAATCTCAGATTCTTCAGTTCCTATTCCTCCTAGCTAACCCTAAGATTAAATGCAAACAAAACTGTACCATACGATCTAAGTGAACACATCTGTAGATAGCAGATTCAGTTATTGTTTGACGAGTGAGTTTTTCTTCTGTACTGCGTAAAAAGCCGCAATGGAATTCAAAATGGTGTACTGCACACATAAGTTTTATTCCTAATGAAATTTATGCTTGTCTAACGGGAATAATGTTAGTTTCTGAATAAACAGAATAAAGTCTATTGGTTAAACAAATTCTATGGTTCTTTTTCAAGTGTGAGCTTCGAAATTGCTTTTGATGATGTATGCAATATTGTTTGCTGTTTAGTCCTTTAGCAAACTATGGTTGTTCTGTAACTAGTTAGTTTAAAAAGTAATAAATGGCCACTATATTCTTTTAAATGTCTTCTGAAAACATTTAATAGTTACTTTCATTTTTATCATGAAATACAAGATAGCAGTTATTTAATTCAAGGTTATGATGTGAATGTCCGCATACAGTTTACTGTACAAGACTGATATTATAGTCTCGAAAAGACGTTTATTGGAAGGTGTTACTTATCTTTTATTTGATTCAAAACCATTTGATAACTAGTTTAAAACGGGTCTCTGATATGATAAATGATTCTTTCATGAAGACAGGGGAAACAGTTTGCGTTTTCTATGCACTTAAGTGCATATATTTCCTATAAGTATGTCTCGTACAACAGCTTTCACGAGTCAATATTTTGCAAAATCTAGCAGAATGCCAGTCAACGTAAAAAGCGTGCACGTTTGAGAATTATTTTTCTATCAAGATACTTTTATTCTTCCCTGTGGTTACAGTATTCTTATACTTTACCACCACTGTAGGTGTGGGACCGTGGAGAAAATGTGTGATGACAATTCCTCAAATTATATACTTAGTTCATTGTATAGGTAAGTTTTAATGTTATCCCAGCGTGTTAAGAAAATCGAAAACAAGATTTTTCTGAATGATATTCTGCTGAAGAAGCTGTGGCATACACAGTGAAACGTTCAGAAAAATCTCGTTTTTGGTTTTCTAAACACGCTGGGATTATATTAAAAAGCTTACCTATATAATGAATCAACCTGACTAGGCGCTCAACTTCTTTCAGAACATTCGTAACAGTTATGGCCTGAATGTTTCTATATACTCAGTGTTTAGGAAAAATCTGTTGAATAACCGCGACAGTTTTTCAGAAAGTCTAGTACATAGTGTCTACTTGAAACTGAAATTAGACGGATGAATATATATTTAAGTTTTAAAGATTCTCATCATGTAAATTAAAAACAAGACATATGAGCGCGTAATATTGTTTCCAATCAGATCCTCTTCAAAGCGAAGGCCAATAAACCTGGGATTATTACTTTTCATAAGAAGCCATTGTTCACGAAATTGCAATTTAATGGAGATGTAGTCAGAGAATTTCTATACGAGAGGCTCTTTAGTGCCACTAAACGGAATTTCTACGTTGCACAACTCTATCAATCATTTTCCAGCCAACCAATTGTTGTTGATCAGATAAAAGATGAGGTATCTAGTTTTACTATTTCTGTGTGTATTTGCAAGTTTAGTTGCTCCTGTGGAGAAAGTTACTACTAGACAACCTAAAAATAGTGTTTCTGAGCATCTACCTTCACTGTTGAGAAAGGGATAGATAAAGTCCATCAGAAGTTTTGCTTTGTTTTATCTCGTTGACAGTGGTCACTTGGTGAGTAAAAACAATTTTTGATAAGATCATTTGCCACATACCACCTAATCATTCGAAAGGTATTCACACTTGTAGCTTACACACAGCAGAAGCTGTAGGAATGTAAGCAACGAATTCTAGTCTTTGTATGCAACAGTTTGCATGTTCCCTATCTGTCTCTCAACCAAAGAATACTTAGTTAACAACTTTATCACTGAAATGTTTCCTATCGTTTTCTCATTCTTCACCCTTTCATAAACTTGCTATAATTGTTTACGCTTTATTTATCCATATACTTCATCCCTCAGTCTTACGCAACTCTTGTTTCTCCGAACCTCTGACCCAATTTAATTATCGGAGTGTTTATATTTCAGGCTGTTTTCTTAGTTCTTATCATGACTATCATCTATATTACAACTACTTTAGTCAGCATTGCCAATGTCATTATTCTTATTTGTATTATTGTGATCATCGTTATTTTAGAACACTTGTCACAGTGACCGATAAATCTACATGACTGATTTAATTTTTATACATAATTAGCTATTCATTTTATAGTGAACTCTGAAGAGGATCTCATTGAAAACAACACTGTTCGCTTATGTCTTGTTTTGATAAATATATCTTGAAAATCATCCATAAAAATCTTTAAATTGGCTATTCTAATTATGTGGCACAGAAGTTTGTCCTGATGACGCTGTCTAGAAAGGCAATGAAAGCTCCATTATTAAACCATCTAGGTTCAATAGCACAACACCATCAGCGACTGAAATAACTTTGAATTTTCAGTCCTGTATATTTTCAATCTTATATCAGGTAACTGCTAATTTGTGAAGGTAATCGTTTCTAAATTCATGATCAATTTGGTTCTGATAGCTTTGATCAAAGGCTTGTTTCTCATATATACATATGCAGTAGAATTTAAAATCCTAGCTTGGAGTTGTACCATCAACGTCACACCAGCTATCGGATACTCTGCTAGAATTGTATATGAATGAGAGAAGCGCGGCTGATGGAACTTTATTACATCACTCATTTAAGTCAATCTTCTCATCTAAATGAAGCTGAACACAAATAAGAAACGAGATTATTTGTTTCCTAAGTATTAAGGCTATCTAAACTGCGCTTTAGCCAATCACTGGTTGAATTTCAGTAGTGAATAAGCAATTTCAAAAGTTGTACATAGGTTACTTTAATAATCAGTATGTCAAAAAAAAAGCTTTTAATACTAACAAGTAGATTAACTTACAACTTCTGGTTGAGAAAGATACATATCAAGTGACGACATTCTGTAGGATTAGAAATGAGAAAAACAGTAGTGACGTGATAAATAATATTCATTTCATTGGTATATGTACTTGAGACATTTTATAATATATTGAGCTAATTACAGGAAATTATCCTTTATTCACAGGGATGCCCAGTTTAGGTTTGTAACACTTCCTGTAAAACACGTCATATTTGAGGGATTAAAGCGATATTTAATTAGGTATGAAATCATGTACATTCTGTATAATGAATCATTCTATTTGGTCGCCTAAAGAAAACAAATTTAATTTAAACAAAACTATTCGACCCCTCATACTGATGATAACTTAAATAACTTCCAATAAGCTCATATCAAAACACCTTCCTGAAGCTCAACCGCGAATAGCATTCACAGTAATATGCATGTGAATGATTCAACTCTCTACCATCTTGGTTTTGCACAAATGGTTGCTTTTTCAAATCGATAAGGAAATAAACATCGAGGGGAACAAGAAGATAGAGGGTGATAAGATAGAATTTAGGATGGGTTTCGCAGTAATATAATATCATTTAATTTAGCCGTAGAAGCATTTGCTTTCTGTGCTTTCTCAATCAGACTTTTTTAGCACATATCTGAAGTTAACTATTGTTCAAGAGTTTTCATCGCACGCAACTTCACAAAAACCACAAATGGACTGACTTTAGGTTAGTATTAGGTATCGTTAATTTAGCGACAGTAATATGTTATATTTGCTAGTTATCAGGCAAAATACTGAGAGTCAAATTCAGTATAGCAGTTTCCTTTACAGTAAGATTGTCAAAAGACATTTATATCCCCTTAATTATTAGCCAAAAGACGAAATGATACATCATGTTACACCATGAGATATCAGTACTTTTGTAACAATCAAAAGGAAGCTGTTTTTAATAAATGGCTATGAATTGTAAAAGCATATTCAGTCTCATGGTCCTATATGATTTACTCCAGGTTACAGATGTGTCAGCTATAGTTCCTGTTAAAATTGATCTGAATCATCCTGGCTTTGTTTAATATTTGGTCACACAGTTTAATACTTACTATGAAATTTCGGTCTACGAACTGCTGTGTTTTGAAGTCAAACTGTTTATGACTGTATAATTCTATAACTGGATTCAGGACTGACTAAATTATATGCCATAAACTTGACCGGCAAACATTGGACATAAATTCCAGCATTCTTTTGAGAATAAGTGTAAGGCTTGTCAAACAAGTTCTACTTTATCATTAAATCTGGTAACTAAGAATAATTTGCTGAGTTAAGCAATACAAGTTACACGTGATGCAGCAGTACTTGAAAACCTCAAAGTTACATAAACAAAATGGTAATAATAGGTAGATGAACAGTATGAAGACTTTTGTTTTTACCTGCGTTGTTCCGTTGAATCACTTCCGCTAAGAAATCGACGTGCAGCAGCGGCTTCTTCTTCAGCTGTCATTACATCTTCGTCATCATCACTGGCAGTGTTATTTTCTGTTTCATCAGCATCATCATTAACAATCCTTAACTTTGGTACAGAAAGTTTTGAGTGTTTCAACATGACTGATGTCTTAAGATTTTCACTATCATTATTATCATCTTGAACTGAATTAACAAGAATATTCGGTGTAGGCATTTTGTTATCGTTTATTCTTGCTTTTAAATTGGGTGTTATATCGGTAAATATTTTTTACTTACCAAAAATATCTAAAAGTAAAAAAGAAAGTAAGTGGAGTTGAGATACGCGGGTTCTTGAATATTTTATCAGTAGTAGTAATTAACAGTATATATAAGCATTGACTCGCAGTTCTTATATACAGAAAGAACTGTATTAGTGTGTGCATGTTTAGGAATAGATCATGTTTGCCTTTAAAAGTTGATTACCATTCCATTATCTCCATAAACTTTCCCATGAGCAGTAAAATATTTTTGGGCAGCCAGTATCCTTAGCCCTCAAACATTAGGTGTGGCTCACTACCTACTGCATGAATGTGCACGAGGTCGCTGAGTGACTTCCAGTTTATTCTTACCTGTTTTCAAGTAAAGCCATGAGGTACAGTGATAAATATTGCATAACTATGTATCGCTATGTTTTAATGTCTGGAGAATTTGAAGCGATCACTAAGTATGGAATCAACTACAGCCTTCATTCAAAAACCTAATCAAGTTTTTAGGAAAACCAATGAAGGTAAGAGAAATTAAGTTCCAGCAGCATTTAAAACAATGGTTTGGGAAAAAATTCCCTAGTTTCTTGTGACCGTAGCTTCACTAAAGACCTAGAAGTGCAAAAGAGTTTTCATGTTCTCGAACAGCACATATTCAGGGTTCTCAGAATCCAGAATAGGGATAATAGTAATGTGTCAGTTAAGGTAACATTTATCGACGAATAAAGCAAACTCATATTGATTTGAAATAGGACAATCCATAGCATTGGTCGGATGTTGATAGAATTTCTGACTCCACTACTGAGTGACACAGATATCGATGTTGCATATAGGCCCTGCTGACGAGTCCCAACAAGCTAAATCCCTTGGTCAGTCAGGGACCCTTGCAGATTGCCTACATTCAAACAACAGACTGAAATTTTCTAAATAGGATGAAGTTTTTGGTTTGAAAGCGCTTTTTAGTGGGCATTCTTGTAGGATGAAGCCCATGTTGAAATCTAGTAAACATTGTAATTCTTTTAATTCAGGCTTTTAACAAGGTATACACACGTTTTACCATGAAAGTAACTATTTGTAGCATTTTTACCTCAGCAATGCTAATATAAGACATTCATGGGATTCGGATTATACAACTGTAGTCCATTAAATTATATTTTTGTCAACCATTATTTCTGAAACAATATTTTTCAAAAAGTATGGTGAAAGGACCCATATTGCCGGGTATAATCTGACAACCATTCATGTTTTGCTTTACTACCATGTCCCTCTTTTATTTTGGTCTTCACCTTTTTGACTTTAAATGACAGAAGTAGCAGTGTCCTGATGAATAGTAATTAAAAATGTCCAGATGGAAAAGCACCTTATTTATTGGATGTACACCTGAATGATGGTCAACTTCATAAAACATGAACCCCAGCAAAATCAGATCTAGTAACCGGAACCTGTACACTTTGTTTAGTATTAGTCAATACTCTAGTATATCAAAGCCGATCTACCAGTAAAGAATCGGTCGAATAATTAAAATATTGATTCACGCCTTCCTGCACCTTTCCTTTAAAATAAGTGTCATGTAAATACTCAGTTTTTGGAAGTTATTTGCAAGAAAATTTTTGAAAAGTCTTATTTGAAAATACAAGGCACCTTTTGACATTCCCATGTCATAATTTACTATTTGTCTGTTAAATAAACTGTCTCCTGTCTAATCTGTCGTAGTTAGTTTAAAAATTGAGGATTTGTTTTTCATTAAAAATTTTAATCTTTAAGAAGAATCTGAAGAAAAAATGTAAAGTGTTGAAATTTAAGTTTTTAACATAACTGTTATATTGTGTTGGTTTCGGAGAAATAACAAGAAAGTTTATGGGCTGATTTTGATAAAAAAGATTATCCTAATATCTCTGAAGTCAATTAAGCAGCATCTGTTATACACGTTAGTGTTGAAAATGAAAACAATATTTGCTGTTGATAATGATGTTGACAACACAGTTCAGTTTCAGAATCAGCTAAAAATTATTCTTCTTCAATGGACGAAAATAATTTTTTGCTGTATTATTGAAGCTTTCGATAGCATATATATTTATATACCACTAAGTATTTGGCAGTTTTGTTATCCTTGTGGATACAGAAGCAACTCTGCAGAAAATATCTCTCTATGCAGTAGTGACATGAACACTCGACCTTTCTTTTCAATGACCTGGAAGTTTCAACACGTCTAACGCAAACGTTGAAAGTTCAACATTTGAAAACTGTAGAAGCTGTTGCATGAATGTTGCATCTTTTTATTATTATTATTATTAGTCCCTTGGGTTCCTAGTGGAACATAGGGCTTCAGTAGCACGCCTCCAGTTCACTCTGTTCTCTGAGATCTTTTGAACCTGGTCCCACGACAGCCCAGAAGCTCTCATTTCCTCCTCGCACAACCTCCTCCATGTCACCCTCGGACGTCCAACTCGTCGCTTCACATCGGGGTTCCACTCGAGCAACTGGTCTGACGCGTGATGTCCTCAGTCGGCCTTCTCAGTGCATGGCCAATCCATCTCCACTTCCTCCTGCATATTTGTTGCATGATAGGTTCTTGGTTGGTTCGTTCCCAGAGCTCCTTGTTGCTTATTCTTTCTGGCCATCTGATCTTCAGTAGCGAGCCAGCGTAAGCAGTTGTTGATGAATGTCTGTAGTTTGTTGGAAATCCCTTTCGTGACGCGCCAAGTCTCCCAACCATACAGAAGCACTGACTTGACGCTGGTGTTGAAAATCCGTATCTTGTTCCGCATGCTGAGTGCAGTGAAGTGGATCTCCACACTGGTTTCAGGCTAATGAACGCCTGTCTTGCTTTTCCGATTCTGACTTTGACATCCTCGTCTGTGTCTGTGCCGCCTGTAGTTGAAACAGTGCTTCCTAGATAAGTGAAGGAGGTTACTTCCTTTAAGTTTCTCTCGTTGATGGTGACTGGAGTTTGTTGTTGCTGTTGATGTTGGTGTTGCGGTATCTTCATCACTTCTGTCTTCTCTATATTCACCTGAAGTCCCGTCTTCGCTGCCTTTTCTATCAGCTTGTTAGTTTTTGCCTGCAGATCTTCAAGTTTATGTGACATCAGGCACAAGTCATCGGCGAAATCCAAGTCTTCTAGGTTCTTTTCCGCCGTCCAGCGTATCCCCCTCTTATCGCTCCCCACATGCTGCATCTTACTTCCAGTTAGTCTTTAAACTGAGAAGTTCAGTTTTACACTAACTTAATGTAAACATTTGGATTATCCACCTCTGTTATTTCATTTGTTGAAATTTTTTTCGGATTTTTAGGTTGATTACTCACTTGCTTTTAAGACTACGTTTTTAGTTATTGGTTAGTTACTTAGCATCCTAACTACAATTCGTGGTATTATTCTTGTCATCTATTCAGCATCTACAGTCCTAGAAGACAGCGATTGAAATATGTCCTCTAAAAATTAGTTATCGATAATATAGGAGTAAAACATGGGCACTGTGGTAGATTCTAATTGCATTTTGGTCTGTTTATTAGAAATGTCACAGTGAAACAGTATCATTTACTGGATAACATTTGGGGCATAATTTATTGTCCATGTTCATATTCATTTATGTGATATGAATGTAGACAATAAATTATGTCCAAAACGTTATCCAGTAAATGATACTGTTTCACTGTGACATTTCTAATAAACAGACTAAAATGGAATTAGCTATCGATACATATAAAAATGCTTTTCATAATTCTGTAACCACTCGAAGCTTGTTTAATTTTTGCTGTAAGAAACTTTGTATTCAGCGCTAAAGCCCGATAAAAATTTAATAAGACTTGTACTTGTTCAGCTTATATTTATCTCAACTGAAATGAACTAGTGAAGTATTGATGTTGATAATTTATTCATGGATTAAAATGTCGACTCACCAGGAATCAGTAGTGTTATCAAAAATACTTTATTGATCAAGGATTAAATCAAATTATACTGAGTCATTTGCTGAAACAAAATTGGTGATTTACACAAGGTGTTCAGTATTTAAAAGTCATACATATTTCTATCTATAAGTCTGAAAAAAGAAAACAAAAGTTGTAGTGAAGTAACACGGATCGACTTTTGCTGAAACAATTTCTATCTAACACTTTAAACCAAATGTATATCTTTGAAAAGGAGTTAGTTCAAGCCCTCAGTTACCCTGATCACCTATTTTATAAACACTTCACCTATTCAATTGTGTCGTGATAACTTCGGAAAAATGCTTGGCTATTTATTTATTTTCCAGTTTCCATCAGATATTCAGCTATCATGTAACAGTAATTTTTGATATAACTATTTATATTCAGTAAGACTTTCCTAGTGTGGGTTTCCTGGCGAGCTAATTCTAAAATTCGGACATTAAAATCAGTAGATTATTTTGATCAGTAAGTACATGCGTACGTCCTGTTTAGGGATATCAGTTAAAGAATTTTTCCACAAAGGAATCGGCCTGTTAATTCTATTTCAGTTTCCCTTCATAATGACAAAATTTGACTTTATATGGTATTTAAGGAAACATATTGACCTCGAATAGATAGTAAGCTACCAGTTCAGTACTGAATACAACTTAAGTGATCACGATTTCTACACTTGATTCAGTTCACCGTATACGACAACCATGGATTAATGTTCCCAGAGGGTAACCAAGTCGTCTTCAATGTGGTTTTGAAATTTATATCAGCTCATGATCAAGTCTATTTTTAGATAAACTCATTCTTTGTATCTGATAAGTGAAACTGTAGTAACACTTGCGAATAAAAACCGATTGCATAACTCAATCTTTTGAAATCGAAATCTAAAACTATATAACATGACATGAACATCTTGGTGTTTTGTTGTATCCCGAATCTGGAGTCTCAGTACTTGAAATTTGTGGATTTTTAGACGAAAATTGAATATGAAGGAACAATTCAACACAGTAGATATGATGCAAAAGATGATTTGTCAAAATATAACAGCTGACTTTTAAAGAACTTTCAAAACTTTTGTTTAGAATTCTAAATGTGCAGATTTCACAGCTGGATAAAATTTCTTCT